TTTAGACCTTTTAAGTAAATAGATGTACTTCTGTGGAAAGGCTGCACAAGTTGATCTGTTCAAGTAATAGCCCCTCAATGGAGCAAGGTGTGTTTTGTTTGAGTCCTCAAGGACTACAAATGTAGTTGAAGTCATAACAAAGCATACAGATCTCAAGGATAATGTTCAGAAATCTGCAAGAATTTTTATCAGTTGTGAAATGTACACACAGAGAATACCATATAATAATTCAAATATGTTATCAAACCCTTTTTTATTACAGGAAAGTATAAAGGCTGTTAGTTCTGCTTTTTATTTGGGCATAATGTAACAAGTGTTAATGTGATTACTTGTGCTGAGCTTCTCATATACATGTATGTTGTTTTCATTTATGTGTTTTGAAATTCTGCTGTAGAGGAAATACAAAATTCATTCAAGAAATTTCTAGCTACCTTCAGATATTACAAAAGTTTGTTTTGCTTCCATCCCATTGGAATATATTATTGAAATTTATATTTATTTATTTTAATATTTATTTGGAGTATTTTTGGCAGTTGCTGTTCTTTATGTAAACTTTTCTTTAAAGTTTTAAATTAATATTATGTAGTAGTTAATTTTTACTTATTTGTACTCCTTCCTGTGTTTTGTGCAGTAGGTATATGTATCTAGAACATGACTGTTAATTTCAGAAAAGGCATATGCTAATGTAAAAAATAAAATTAGGCTAAAATAACAAACGTAAGATTTTTATGCAAAAGTGTGTCAGTTTCAAGAGCAATATGTCTTCTTCAAGAGGGGGAGGGAAAAAAATTGCTTAACACTTCAGTGAGTCACCCTTGAAATTGATAAGAATATTATCTACATCAGTCTCTCCACAAGTTTTGCATAATCATTAGCTCTCTCAGTTTTTGCATATTTACACATACTAGTTTATCCTTCTGCACTACAGTGTTCCTGTAAAACTGCTCATAAATTGAGATATTATTTAGAAGAAAAAAAGGGAAATGTAAGGTATTCTCTCTTTCATTACTGCATGCCTTCGTGTTGTAATAGGAGAGCACATCCAGCTACCAGTCAAAAGGTCTGGAGTTTGAATCCAAGTGAGAACACTGCTCATTTTTCATGTCTCCTACTAATAAATATCTAATGACTGGAATTTTCATATAAACTGATGGAATGACCATTAATTTATATGAAAAAATTAAGCAATTTGAATCCTAAAAAATATACAAAGAGCTTAAAGCAATGCTAAAAGCTAGAACTATGCGATAAATGCACAGCATAAATAAATAAATAGTGTTGTGCCTCTTTCAAAACAGAGAAGGCACTAATCATACTTAGAAGGCTTAAAGATAGTGGCAGTGATGACAGTAAGTTAAGCTGACTTATTCAAGCTTCAGTAGTGGGACATGGGAAAGAGTGGATTTAGAAGAAAGAGAATCATCATTTTATCTTCAAGTCATTATATATATATGTTTTCTGTTTTTCTTGCATTAGTGAAAAAAAAAAAAAATCAGAGTTTCTGATGTTCTCTGGGTAGTCTTGAAAGCTTGAAATATGGCAAATGCTTGACTGCATAATGACACCTGTTTTCTATCATACAGTTCTTCGTCAGGCTAAATATCGTGAAAAAATTTCCCCAAGCCTATGAACCCTATCACATTTAAAGTCATACTCTGCATTAAACAAATATTGATCAACATTTTCATTTTGTGCATTTCTTCATAGAGGCCAAAAATCATCTTTAGATATTCTTTATATAGAGTAAAAGGTACTAGTATAAATGTTTCTTAAAAACAAAATAACATAAATCAGACTTTTATTAAGGACATAGTACAGAAAACACATTTTTAAACTTTGAAATTTTGTTGTAAATATGAGTGAATTAAAAAAAACTACAATATGGTGATTAAGAAGCTAATAGTTTTTGACTATAACGTTCCTTAATGTTCCTTTAATGTGCATTTAACATCGATTTTGAATGAAATGGGATTCATCCATTTGTTGAATGAAATTCATCTACAGCATCTGTTTTATTCAACATGCAGTTTTAAGGAAATTTCAGTATACTTTTATTTAATTTTTTTATATGAATTTATCAAAATTTCATAAAATGCTAATAAATTTTTGAAAGTTTATTATTTAATTAATAAACACTCCATAAAAAAATTACTACTTAAATGTGTGCACATGTGTTCAGGATTGCAATGTTTTTATTTATGGATTTCTGACGTAGTTACTACATTTTTTCTTTTGTATTGTGGAAATCTTTAATTTATTTCTTGAAACAATTTTTCATATTCTGTGTAAATGTATTATGTGTATACATAATAAATGTACATATGTTTATTTTTTTTAATTATTCAGCATAACATAGGTATATGTAATAAAAATTTTGGAAATGTAGATGTAAATGATACTTTCAGTTAATAATATATATAGCCAGTCATGAATTTTGAAAACAATTTTTATTTCGGCACAGTTTGTAAAATAATAAATAGAATAAAGCACTGAAGTCGATGGATGCATACTTTGCTAAAAAATTTCAACATTTTACACATCTATATCATCACAATTGTTAATAAAGTAAAACTATTAGAGTGGAACCTCGAGATATGAGCACTTCTATATTCAAGAAGTTAGAGATATGAGGAAAATATAAACGAAAAATTCGTCACTAACTATGAGAACTGACCGAGTGACAAGCCAAGTTGTTGGTATGCATAGCGTGTTACCCGATTAGGCTCAACTCAGGGAATCAAATCACTTGATGTTCTTTGATCTATGTGTTTGTGCACCTGTGAGTTGAATCTTTTTTACATTTAACATGAAAATAATTATTTTGAAATGCCTCCTAAGAAGATTGTTGACTCAGATAGTGTTGCAAAGAAAAAGAAGAAAGTACCATTAAAAGTGAGAAAGAAATCATAGATAAACATAAGCGTGGTGTAAATGTGACAGAATTGGCAAAGACTCACAGCCATTTGATATCGATGATCTGCACTATTCTGAAGAAGAAGGAAGAAATTAAGAAACTTGATGTGTCCAAAAGAGTTACTGTTACTTCCAAGCGCCATCCTAAACTTTTAGAAGATGTTGAGAAGCTGTTGTTGCTGGAGATTAATGAGAAGCAGTTGAAAGGTGTTTTGGTGTCAGAAGCTATCATTTGCGCTAAGGCTAAGAATCTGCACTTGAACCTTCTCCGAAAAACACCAGGTATTATTTACCAGTGAACACCAGGTATTATTTATTTTTTAGGAAAATCGATTTATATGTTGATATTTTTTGGATTAACTGTGGAACGGATTAACTGTATATCCATTATTTTTAATGGGGAAGTTTTCCTCTATCTCGAGAAATTCGCTACACAAGTTCAATGCTGGAATTAATTAAACTCATACTTCAAGCTTCCACCGTATTAGCTAATTAGCAAGTATGAAAAGGACAAAATTATATTATTGATATTGGATTAAGAGTGGTAAATTTGCTTAGTTTCTAAGTAGGGAGAAATAGCATTGCTTTATTATTAATAATTGATAAAAAATTTGATTTAATTATTTTGGGATAAAAATTTTCAATTTAATTTTGGTTATTATGATAAGTATGTGTACAGGGTGTTTATAAAGTTCCGGACCCATTTTGATGTTTAATAACTCATAAAATAATAAAGATAGATTAAAATTAATAACATAAATGGTTAGATAGACTCAAAAAGTTTCATGAGCCTTGTCAATGAACTTCGACGTGTGCCCCCTTCGTTGCACGGAGAATATCAAGTTGATATTCAATTTCACGCCAGGTACCAGCAAGCATGTCGGCATCCACAGAGGCTATTGTGGTTGTAATTCTGGCTCTTAGATCATCAATGTTTGACACTCTCCTCTTGTAAACATTGTCCTTTACAAATCCCCAAAGAAAAAAGTTCAACAGCGTTATATCAGGTGATCTGGGTGGCCAAGGAATTGAACCTCCTTGCCCAATCCATCTTCCTGTAAAATGGTCATTTAAAGAACTATGAACGATGGTACCCCAATGAGGTGGTGCACCATCTTGTTGCAAAAAGATATGTGGCTGAAGCTTTTCTAGTTGTGGAAATACGAAGTTTTCCAACATGTCTAAGAATACGACTGATGAGACCGTCTTTTCTGTAAAGAAGAAAGGCCCAATGACTCGGTCGTGCATTAGTCCACACCACACTTTAACCTTTGGGGAACTCCTTTGTGCCTCATGGTATTCATGGGGATTTTCAGATCCCCATATGCGCACATTATGGCAATTAACAATGCCAGAAAGAGAAAGAGAGAAAATGCAATTAATAAGCAGACGATATTTAGAAAAGTACAGATATTTAGACTGGAAAATGAAATTATCTGAAATTAACCACATGTACAGATGATATTTACAAAAGTAAAGATATTCAAACCTGAAAAGGAAAATATATAAGTATTTCCATCAATAAATGCCATAAGTTTGTTTATATCATAATTATTTTGTGAGTTATTAAACATCAAAATGTGTCCAGGACTTTATAAACACCCTGTATTATTAGTATTATATGAGAATCACGTGATCAGGATTAATTTTGGGATGGTGTGCTCTTAAGAAACAATTGTTTAATTATTTTTAGGATAGAAAGACAAAATATTAAATTAAAAACACTGTGTTAGTATAAATTAAAATCACATTTGTCTTATATATTCTTCTTACTACTCCCCATCCCGAAAAAAAAGGTTTGGTGAAAGAAAAGTGTTTTTTCCATCACCAGGTATAATTCTGTAAGATATGAAATATATATTTGAAATGCTAGAACAATACATGCCCTTGTCTCAACACTTAGATTACTTCACTCTGCTTATTCTAAAAATTATGTCTAGATAAAGATAATTTGTGAAAATCTTCAGTCGTTTTTATATACAAAAAATCTTCAATACTAGACATCCAGCATGATCATTTGCATCTGTGTTACAACTGAATTTTTAATTTCTAATACATGTTATTGGGTACCTTTCTTCAATTTTCAGATGAAATTACCTCCTTTACCACCAATCTCTTCTCATTCTAATAAAAATGAAACATTCTCACCTGGACTTAAAGCTGAATATCGACAAAGGCTACCTAGTGTATCAAAAGGTAAGTTTTATATTTATTTATTTTATGTAGAATGTACTCTGAAGAGATGAAAAATGATTATTTAATTAATTTCTCAGTTTGTTGTTTGTTTGCTTACTGGAAACCAGAAATTTTTCAATCACATGTTGCTAAAAACAGGAGGAAAGTAAATGCAGTACAGCACAAAGTCCGAAATTTGGATTTCCATTATCCGGAATGATCTAAAATCCAGACCTAAAAAACGTTTTTCTTGTAGGCTTTATGTATGCGCATTTGATTCCCTCCCCCCTGCGCATAATAAAACATCTGGAGAGTCGCAATTCTTAATTTCACTTCGACACTAAATAAAATACCTTGTTATTAAAGAAACAATCTTTTTAGTATAAATTTGTACGATCAGTAATTTGGCTCTGTTGCTGCCTATCTGCTTGGCACACATCTCAAACTGAAACATTCCACATAGATGCATTGTTGATCTAATGCCAACCTGGCGAATCATTATTTATTATACTTTCCTTTCATCACCCCATGTTTATCAACACATGCCAACTTGAGTAATGACTCATGTAGTGATGCATAAACATTTTTTTTTATGTTAGTAATTGAATAATAAAGGAGTATGGTAACTTTTTATGTTGACATTATGCTTGGTGATGATTACAGATTTAAATTAAATGCGGTAAAAAATGCTGACGAGGAAAACTTTAACAATTTTTTTTTCATATGCTAAAAATAGATTTTTTAATGATACTCATAGGCAAAAAAAAAAAAAAAAAAAAAAACTGCATTTATTGCTATTTGAATTAAGAATAACTGATTTGTTATTCACATAAACCCAAAAGAGCACCAGGGCTTGCATGGCTGCACCGAGTCACAGAATTTAGGACCCACAGAAACTGCATCAGGCGGTAAGATATCTAGTGCTGGCCCTCAATAAGGCTTAAGTATATGTGGGAATTTATTTATTCAGAACTCTGATAAGCCTTAAGCATGTGCAAGAAATAGACATAAGCATAATAAATAACTAATACAATTTAGGCTTAATTGTCGTAATGCGCAATAGAAGCAAGATAAAATTTAACGGAACAACTTGTCGTTAGTCGCCAGGCTCATTATAAATAATCAAATATATATAGTGAACGATAGCTAAATTTGATGATGATAGCCGCTAATTTTAAAGGATATCGCAAAACAAAGGTGAAATTTTCCAATTAATGGATTTTGTAAAGAAATGTGGAGAAGTGGTAATAAATGAAGATGATATAAAAGAAGTTTTTCATTGTGATGACAACGTTTCTCAATCCTCAATCAATTAATGAATTGCGAAATCTGTAGTATGGTTCTAGATGCAGAAAAAAGTGACAGAGAAGTTACTGAAAATTTATAATGAAAAAATTTCTATTGACAAGTTAGTCAGAATGCAGTTGCAGGGCTTCAACATGTAACTGAACAAGAGATTATGTCTATCTACAGGATTAAAGAGAAAGTATTAGCACAAAAAATGAAACAACTTACATTGAAAGAAATGTTTAATAAGGTAAACAAATAAATATTAAGCTCTTTTTTTATGCCCTTTAGATCATAAATAATTCATTATTTCATAAATCACAATTTCATATTTTTAATTTTATAATTTCTACATGTCATCTTACTAGATTTAAACTGATGATCTAATATCCGGGAAAATTCCAAAACCGGAATCCCCGACGAGTCCAGATTTCGGACTTTGTACTGTTATTAGATTTCATTAAAAATGCCTTGCATCTTAAACCCTCGCTTTCTTCAGGAAGAAATACCTCCAGAAGTTTCCTGGTTTGTCTATCATTTTACGTATGCACCAATTTAAGTTTATTTTTTGCATCCATCAACATCTCCGGAATTCTGAAGTAATTGACACCTCTTATTTAATAAACAATCAGTATTGATTCAATCTCTAAACCTCCTATCAGCTAGCCATACATACTTCCAACTATGCAATGAAGATACATGGTAGGAATGAAGAAACTACCTTTGATTCTTCCCATGATCCAATTGCCAAATCTTGGTGTTGATGAATTATTATCTACCATATTTTAGTTCAAGTGCCATTTGTAGAGTTCTTAGGTTTTTGGTGCAGAAAACATAAAAAATGGGCATTGCCTTTGCGGAGATTTCAAGTCAGACATGCTCCGTGTTACACCACAAAGACACACAGTAAGGAGAGAGAAAATATCTCTTGTACCATTTGATCATCTCTTTTGCAAAGCATCTTCAAAATATCAAGCTTTTGTATGTGAGATCATATTACAAATAAATTTTTGTTTATATGTATATTCAACTTCCTAAATTTTTATAAAAGGTTTTCCAAGAAACTGATGCATTAAAAAATGAGACCTTTCATCCTTTGACTGGAATCATATGTACTTTTGATAATTTACTAGTTTTTTTTCAATAATCAGTTATTTTCTAAGTTTATTTAAAATAGGAATGGTAAATTAATTGTTAAATCCATCTTAGTGTATTTAAATTTTATATGGGAATTTTTTAATCCAAATTTTAAGAGTTACATTTATCAAATTAAATTAATCAAAATATCTTTTGAGAATGATTATAGGTACCACAAAATCGCTTGTAAATTATTTCTAATATAATTATTTGATTCAGTTTTACATCTTATGAAATTAACAAAGAATTGATTTGTATTTTTTTAATTCAAAAATTCATTCAACATTGTAAAATTCTTAAGTGAGAAGTTGCCTCTGCATAATATAGTTTTAATGGAAAATTGTATAATTTCATGAATATCTTGAATTACAGTATAGTTCTAAGTATTCATTTAGTGGAGATTCGTGTATTATTATTTTATTCTGCAAGTTTGTACAAGTTTCCTTCTTCTGTTTAGGTTCTGTATGGTACGTACCATTGCAACAGACATCTGTTTCTGAATCTAATACATCAGATGAGGATGATGAAGTACTGACAAAAACAGAACGTAGGTGTTCCCTTTTGGATGAAGTTGAGAAAGATGAAAGCATTAGGCATGTTGATAGTGATGTGGAATCAGATAGTTCTGAGGAGTCTGAGTTAAATAGGGTAAAAAATTAAATAGAGTTTTTGTGCTAATTTAAGATTTGTTTGGTTAACATAGACAGATATTATTTAAAAAAAAAAAAAAAAATTAGGAAACATCTTGTGTTTTGGTTTGAAATGCATTTGTTGCATCTTCAGTAACAGCAGCTCATAAATATCATATTCTGCTTGCTATTCATACTGCTATTGTTCAGGGCACTTGTAACTGACTGAAATGATTGACATGTGACTCAATTAAAATAATCAGCTTTGGCATCCAGATATTTTTATCGGTGTTGTGTTAAATTGAAAATTCAGTGCATAGCGAAATCTCGTGACTATGATCTTAGAAATTATTTAATTGCTTTATGGAATAATTGTGATTTGGAAAATTTAAACCAAAAAGAAAGTTTTTTTGGGGGGGGCAGTGCAAAATGTGATAATCTGTTGAGGTGGTGAAAGGTGAATGTGATGGGTGATGAAAAATTACATAACCATAATGTTAGCTGGTTTTTCTATGACTCGTGAAAAAGAGCATAGTTATGCAATACAAGGACACTGTGTTCATGAATGCTGGCTGTTTCAGGTAAATTTGTTGGTTTTAACCTAGTTTGCACAGAAACAGTCCATACTGATGGTTTTACCTTGCCTGGGAAGATATGATAAATGATGCTAGTTGCATAGCACCATGTGTTATAAATTGATAGATTGCGCTGTTAGGTGGCGCTCCGAACGTCTTGTCTCTGTTGATGTTCTGTAACTTTCTTTTAGTTTGATGGAAGATCGAAGGTGTTAAGCCTAATAATGATGAAGGCATTTGCCTAACAATAATGCTTGTAACTATTGTATTATACTGTCAATAAAATGTCTGTGTATTAATAACAAAATGGAATGATCACTTACCTCTGGAACTAATGCTCTTTGATAGTAACCGGAATTATTTAATACACCATGCAAATAAAAGAATTTTTTATAATGAGGTGGTAGCTTTTGCCTGGATATCCTGCTAATGAGCTGACCTGCTGTCATATTTGTATCAGATCCATTTTGCCTTACTCATAAAAGTTTTGTGCAAAATTCCCTGCTTGTTATTTTTCAGCATGAATCAAATACACTTTTGTATCTGAAATGCCTTGTTTGTGGAAGTGAGATCTTGGAAAATCCAAGTATCTAAAATCTTCATCAAATCTATTGATACCAGGCACTAAAGCAAAATGAAGTGATAGACATCAAATTCCTCATCTATCATGCAGGAATTTTGTTGCCAATCAGCTACCCTAGAAGATGAAAAAGATTAAGGTCAATGCCTGTATAATGCACAAAACTTCACAAACCATCAATGAATCGTGTGAGTCATAAGCAAAAATCAATTTTAGTTGTGCACACTCCTTGGTTGTAGCAAAGCACTGTAATTCACCATGAACTGATCAATACAGATTATCGGTCACTTATCTAAGCATATAATTTCATCTCTAAGTGGTTACTTTCTGTGTGCTGTCAGTTGTTTTCAAGTGCTTAAATAAGCCTGTCATCATTTATGTCTACAAATCCCATTTCACTTAATCTTATTCCTGGATTTTTTGAATATTTTAACTAAAGAAAGCTCATACATTTATTCTATGTTTACAATATTTAAATTCTGAAAACTTTTTGTTCTGTGTTTAATTTGTTAGCTTTTTATGCAGTGCATGTACAGTAAAAATAAACATATTAAAATTTTATGTTCTTTAATAGACACACACACTTGTAAGGATTGATAATACGATATCGTTAGTTCGTCCGGTAATTGAAAATGATGCATCTTCTAATGTACAGTGTACAGTTCAAGAAAATTCCCCTGAGACTTCAGAAATGGTAAGGATGTGTGCATATACATATAGATACATTGAAATATTTTTTTGAATGATAGTAAAAAAATTTATATTGAAAACAGAACTCTATTTTAATAATCTTGTTTTTTCATTTTATATAATTTCAAATAAAAATGTTTGCTCCCTAACTTTTCCCCCTCCTCTTGCATGTTTAACTTCTGAAGAGCTATATTATTAATTTACTGTATTAAGCTCTTGTTATATTCATATTTTTAATAATTAAGTTGTGAATTTGAATTTCCTGTAAAGTTTTCCAAGTGTTTTGTTATTTGAAAACTGTAACTGATATTGTTTCATAAATCATACATGGAATTTCTGTACAAAGGTTGCTATTTATATTTTTAGCCTTGGCCACAGTAAGTGTTGCTAGACAGCCACAGATGATTCCAATCAAAAGTTTGATATTTTTAACCATAACTTCTTCAGAACATTTTGCAATTTTAGTGTGATTTGTGTTTTTTACGGTAAATTGAAAAATTCATCTCAGGCAAAAAGTGGAACTGACTCGTGAACATTTTCGTGTGATTATTTTTTCAACATGGATTATCAAGACGAGAGTGCTTTAATAAACTTATTTCTTTATACAGTGATAAAGCACCATCCTACAGTGCTGTTAAAAAACTGTTATAATGAATTCAGTCATGGTCAATGTCTGTTCCAGGATGAATTCTTTGAAGGTCATTAAAAATCAGTTGTTTTGCCAGAAAATATTGATGCTGTGCATGAACTGATAAAGCAAGATCATCATGTGACATACTGTGAGATTGAGGCATCTTTTGGGCATTAGTATCACAAGCATCAATAAGATAGTATGTGCAAGATAGCATTTGGCCATAAAAAAAGATTTGTTTGCGTTGGATACCACATAATCTGACAAATGCTCAAAAGAAGGCTCATGTCGATTGGTGCAAGGAAATATTGGAAAAATATGTTCAAGTTTCATCAGAGGCTATGTGTAACATATAAACAGGTGACGAACCATGGACCTCTGCGTATAAGCCCGAAACAAAACAGCAGTAAATTGTATGGGTCTTCCAAAACGAGCCAAATCCAACATCAAAGCAAATGGTTGCCTGTTTCTTCAGCATTACCAGTCATGTGGCAACAGTGGCATTAGAGCAATGCAGGACAGTCAATTCTGAATGGTACATGACCATTTATTTGCCATAAGTTATCAGAGAAATATAAAAACAGAAGAAGAGGCAAATCATTCTTCATCATGACAATGCAAGCTCTCACACATTGGCTCAAACAAAGTAATTTTTGATGGCCAAAACATTGAATTGATGGGTCATCTGCCATACAGCCCTGATTTGACACCCAATGACTTTTTTTTTTATTCCAGCGCATCAAAAATAAATTATGTTGTCAGGGATTTAAAACACCTGAAAAAGTGGTTGATGCACTCAAAATGTTTGTTTTGGAGTTACTTCTATCGGAGTAGAAAAATTTCTTTGAAAATTGGTTCAAATGCATGCAAAAGTGTATTTATCTTCATGGAGAATATTTTGAAAACAATAAAACCAATTTCGATCTGAAATTTTTTTTTTCGCTATTAGGCTAGAAATATAAATAGCAACCCTTGTAAGATTGTGAATAAATATCAATATTACACAGTTGTTTAAAATTATTTCTTTTTACAACTTATTTAAAACAATTTTTAAATTTTTTTTTATTTTATTTTTTATTTTATTTTTTTTTATTTATGTATTTAGCTTATACCAATTCATCATATACTGTATCCTTTTAACTCATTTAATAATGGTTATCAAAAAGGGGAAAAAGTCATTCAATTTAAAGTTATATATATCTGACACAATGGAAGTATATATTGCTCTTCTTTGCTGTTATATTAGAATTTTTGGAAATGTTATAATGCAGTACATCTATGGATGATTTCACGCAGATTATCCGAATTATTTAATTACGATTAGCTGCCTGTGCCACTAAAGATATGCTTGATTACTTTGGTTAATGGCCAGGAAAACATTTGTGAAATATTATAAAGAATTAAGACTCCTTTTTATGTCATGGTACAGCACTTGGCATATCAGTCTGGTACACTGAAAATCATGCATACAACTATGGACAAGGTCGCAGAGTATTGTTCAAAATAACCTGCTTCTGATTTTTTTTTTAGCTGTATGAACCTGAATTTAATGGTAATATTTTATTCTTTCATGTATTTAAAAAAGAAACTTGGAAGAATAAATATTTTCAACTGGTAAAATACAACAATTTGCATGTCAGTTGCAATATAAAAATGATAAATGCTCCTTTCTGATGCAGTTAAGAAACACTTTAATTATATCTTTTTATTTAAATTAAAAAGAAGCATGAAATATTGTGTACACTCATGTAATGCCCTTACCTACTACACAAAAATTTCATTGAAGATTTCCAGATGTAGACATTACATGTATCATTCACTCACTAAATTCAATAATTTGTGCTTATTCTCCCACAAAAAGCCATGATAAATCTTGAAGGGCAAAATATGTAAATGAGAAGAAAAATTAAAATACAAGCAATTAAATGTGTTACACATCCAGGGTCAGTTTCATCATTAGCCATTGACTTTAGTAATCATCTAGAAAGTTTTTCATAAATAGAGAAAAAGACAGATTATTCAAGCTTTTTTAGTTTTAGATATAGTTAAATATTATTTAATTTATAATTAAATAAATATTGTTTATATGTTGTAAAAAATTTACAGTGAAATCTGAGAAATTTCTTCCTAAAAAAAAAAAAAAAAAAAAAAAAAAAAAAAAAACACCTTTTGAAAATATTCATCGTTTCTGAAACCATAAGTAAATAATAATGTTGAATATCATTGATAGGTGCATTCTCTAAGGTGAACATCTTCACACAAGATCAGCAACTGTCTGGAACCATGAATGATCATCTTAGGGAAGTTTCATTATCTATGCTAAATAGGTGCTGTAAAGGGTGGGATGTCTTAAATTTTCTTTCCTTAAGAATGTGAGATAAACTTTCATCAGCCCCACATACACCAAACTCAAAACACTATGTACATATACTTTAGCAGCTTTGAATTTCTTCTTTTAACTGAGCAGGAAACATATTGATTCACTAATAGTTTTTGGCAATTATTTTTAAATATATAATTTAAAATGCATTTTTGATTGTTTATGTCATCACAAAATACATGTGTGCATATACAACAGCATTTAACATCTTCTGATGAACTGTTGATTTCACTGTCTTTTTTAGTTGATCAAGAACATTTCTTTTGAACAGCAAACTCATCTTCATTTTCATTTTATACATATAAGATGCCTATTACATTAAACTTTTCTGAAGCTTGTCTTGGGACAAACTTCATCACACTGATAATGCCCATAGTTTATATCTAGTCCACAAGAATCCGATAAATCGTTTTCCTGCTCCTGTCCATCAACTAAATATAGTAATTTTATCTTCATAAAAATGTTAGTGCAGTGATTATAAAAGTCCATGTTTTTACCATACATTCTTTCTGGAAAATCAAGATGCAAACATTACAAGAGTGTAATATGGTATATCAAATTAATTTTGTAGTCATAACATTAATAACATGATTTGTAAGATCAAAAGATGGTAGTAAAATTGTTCTAGTTGTCCTAGAAATACAAATTCAATCTAAATAAAAAGACCGCTGAAGACTTGTTAGGCATTTTTATAAATTCTCACATTTTCAGCTTGTATTTCACAAATAGATATTATGTCAGCTCAAATAAAAGTTAAATAAATAATAAATAAAATTTTTAAAAGTAGAAAATTATGTAAATCATAATTACCGCAATAGCAATTTCCTATCCTAATCGTAATTACTGCAATAGCAACAGTCCAATTAGTTATGTATTGAAAGATTTAAATACTTTCCTTTCCGTAGAATGTAAATAAAGGTTCTAATATACATTTTTCATCTTTCTTCCTTTTTAAGACAGGAACAATATACTTTTTCTGTGCTACTGATTAGGAATTAGCATCTTTTATGTGTATTGCAACTGTCTTAATATTAGTCAAAAGTCGTTAATTCGGACACCCATAACCCGGAATGATCTATAATCCGAACCTCAAAGCTGACACAGGCGCGTTTAACCTTTATGGCTGCAAGTGTGCGCGTGCGCAAAATACGTTTACGAATGTGCGTTTAATGTATAACGGGCGGTATAAGCTAAGCTAAAATTATCTAATTCAGTTAATGTTGCAGATTGCGTTGTTCCTTAATCTTTGGATTGGATTCGGCTTTTTATTTTTTGCAGACTGTTAGAGCAATTTTATAAAAGTAAGCTTGAACTTTCGATTATATCAAATAGAATTTCTGATATATATTTACTAATATGTAAAGGATCTACAAAGCGAAAGTATGTTTTGAAGTCCACTAAACAAAAAGTGGAATTACCGCAAAAAATGGATAAAGGCATATCCTTTGTTTATCTAACTTTAATGTGTGTTTATCTAAACTTTGTTTATCTTTAACGCCGCTGCGCGCAATGAATTGGAAGTTGATCTGTCAGCACCATCCTTATTTTCAGGGCAGATGTTTTTATTTTATTTGGCTTATAATTCCTTACTAACTGTAGTATTTCATCTCAATGTACTCCGTCTTTGATATGATTTAAATCAAATTCCTCATCATTATAATTTGCTTCCGATAGTGAAGAAAGTGACAGAGGTTATTGAAAACGAAAAAATTTCGATTGACAAATTAGTCGGTATTCTCGACACAGCAACGGAACTTTGTAATTGAACAAGAAATTATGTCTGTTTATAGAATTAAAGAGAATGTATTATCATATAAAAAACTAAGCAACTTAAACAACTTACGTTGAAAGAAATGTTTAATAAAGTAAACAAATAAATATTAACCTTTTTTTTTTTTTTTTTTTTTTGTAAATTTTTATACCCTTTAGATCATAATTGTTCTTTATTTCATAAATTACGGTTTCATATTTTTAATTTTATAATTTCTGCATGCCATCTTACCAGATTTAAACTGATGATCTATAATCCGGAATCACCGAAGTCCCGACGAGTCCGGATTAACGACTTTTGACTGTATTAAAATTACTAATATGAAAACTTCATGTAATTATATACAGTAGGCACATCTTTATGTGATCACATTTGTCCATGACTATTCTGATAACATCAAGTGATGAAAAACATAACCTTTAAAATATCAATGGAATTTAACTAATATAGTATAAATATGACTATATATAATGTTTATAAAATGCTAAATAAGTTAAAAACTTCTGTTAACATATATGCATTTTTATTAATGTGCTTTGTTAATTTGCATTAAATTTCCATCAGGACAGAATTTCTGTTGCAGCTACAGATCCAAAAGAATCACAGCTTGAACAGAAAAGTAAAAATGTGAGAGGTAATATTATGGCATTAATTGTAAATTTTAATTATACATTTTTTTCTCTATTTTATTATCTATTGTGATTATATGGTTTGAAGTTATATAATAGTGTTCCCTTTTCACATATCAGTAAAATTATAAGATATTTTAATCTTTAAAATTGGGTAAAATTAACTATAGCTGGTCACTAGTTTCATAGATCTCTGAGTTTGATAGACACTGATATGGACAAGGACCATTTTTCCTTTTTTGTAACATCTGTCACAGTGATGTGTCTGCATCACGGTAGTATTGTGTAATTACAGTAAAAGTTCAACAGTCTGGAAAGGAAATAAATGATGAATGCATGAAATGCCAAACCTTATGAAAATTTCAGATAATTGAGCATGTAAAAAGTGCAATTTGTATTAAAAATACCAGATGCATGGAAGGAGAAATTTCCTGTTTAAAGTCAGAAAATAATCGTCTTATTTGTTATCAGCTTAAATATCAAATGCTTGCATTTAATGTTAAGATTCTGAAAAAATATGCATTTCAGACATAAAAGCCAATATATTTTCATAGACCTTAAACATATGCAAATGAAACATCTTATTTGATTTTGAAATCTTACTGACAGTGAGTGAAGGGAGAGAAATCACCAAATCGTAAGTCATTTCAGCAAGTGTTTGAAAGAACTGATTGCTCTTTATTTAGTTAGATAGGTAATTAAAAGATACAAGTTACAAATATAGTATATTAAAAACTTAAATCACTGTTATAATTTTTCACTTTGCATCATTATTGTGTATCCATTTTCAAACAAGATCACATTGTGTCCATTAATGCACACTCTTTTGAACCTGTAATAAGAAGAAAAATGGCAGTGAATTTTGTGTATACTCCACTACATACTTTACCATTTAGGGCAGATCAATAATTTTATTCATTTTCTGAAACGAAAGAAAAAAAGTAGATTAATTTTGTGAATACTCAACTGCATACTTTTCCATTTAGGGCAGATTGATATTTTTTTTTTTTTTTTTTCAAAATGATAGAAAAAGTAGATAATACCAGTTAATTTACATTCATCTTCACAAAAACTAAAGCATTTTATCAAAAATTATTCAGGTTTACATAAAACCAAAATGAAGATCTTATGATGATATTGTGATGTTACATTTAGCCATCATTGGTGCTAAATTACGCTGTTTGGTGAGAATTATCATTTGTTCTGAATCCAAATAAAGCTGTTATAACAAACTGTATGATAGTTTAAATTTGCTTAGCTTTTCATTAACAAGATATAGTCCAATCATATGAGCTTTCTGGTTAGTTGAATATTGGATAGTCAGGTTTTTAGTGTATTTTTGAATAAAATCAGTTACAAAATGCAAAATTTTGAATAAGTGAGTCAAACTATTTTTTTACATCTATTGTGTCGTTTGGTACATCATTTTAGTTCCCAGATTTCTTTGATTTGAAGTTACTGAATTTAACCCTTTAACTGTCAAGTTATTTTGATGATTTGAGTACACAAATTGTCAAATTTTTTTATTGCAAAAATCAAATGTTTAGTACAAAATAAAATATACTTAGTAGTTAAAAATTGATATTTTGAAGTACATGGGTGAAATTTTTAAAGTTTTGTAGCCACTGCATATTTGTTTGAGGCGGCTTCCACTCAACATGGCAGCTGTAAAGTTCGCTTCTAGTGGAGCATTATTTTCTAAAAATGGGAAAAAAAATCTAAAAAATAAATAAATGAAAAAAAAAGAAAAAAAAGAAAGAAAGAAAGAAAAAGTGAATACCTATTAGTTGTTTAGTTATTCAGTCTTGTGTGGTACAACTGGAAACGCTTTTCCAAGTACAAACCAACTCCACAATCACTACACCAGAATCGTGTTTCCTTCTTTATCTTTTTCCCATTTTTATCCTTTTTCGAACAGCACACTTTGCACTGTCTTGTAGGCTCACGTTTTGAAGGAGTAGGAAGAATATGGGATATAAAATGGCGTTCAGTAAGACGGGAAGGGTTATCTATTGTAGGTGGTCTGCCAACATTCTTTTGTCCAGAAGCTGCATCATCATATTTATGTAAAATCTCTTCTACAACTTGGATTCGAAATTCTAAAAATGTAATATGTTTTTCAGCTACATTTTTATAGAGCAAATATGAGTTCCAGAGTACCTTGTCTAGTAAATGTAAAAATATCTTTTTATAATATTTTTTCTGACGTTTTCGGATTGTTGGATGAATGAATATTTCCTGATCACAGCGATCTATGCCACCCATAGTTAGATTGTAGTCAGAAACAATCTTCGGCTTGAATATATCTTCATTTTTTTTTTTTTGACGCTGACCATGGAAGTATCATGAATACTGCTCATCAAGCAAACATCCTTCTTATCTTTCCACCTTATAGCCAAAATCTTACCTCTTTGAAAAGCTATGATTTGATCTTTTTGTAATTTTCTTTTAGTGAATTCTGTAGGTAAATCTCGTCTGTTTATCCTTACTGTGCCATAAATATCTGTTTTTTGGGCTACAAGTAAATCTGCAAGCTCGGGTGACATGTAATAGTTATCTACAGTCACACAATAAACATTTCCAAGAAAGCGATGCAGTAGGTGCATGATGACTTTTGTAGAAAGTCCATAATTTGTGTACAATTGATTGAAGACAGTACTATTTCCTGTATAGATGATGAAGTCACAAATATACCCTGTTTCCGCCTTACAAAGCATAAAAAATTTGATTCCAAATCGTGCACATTTGATAGGAATATATTGTTTCCAAGATAACCTTCCTTTATAAGGCATCAAGCTTTCATCAACTGATACATCACTTTTCGGTACGTAAAAATTACAAAATTTTTCCCATAAATTTTCTATCACATTATACAGCTTCCAAAGTTTTGGATTTGGAAAATCATCTTTTTTTTTCAGCTTCATTATTGCAAAAATGTAAATATCGAAAAAGCAAAATAAAACGATTTACGGGCATTACTTTTGAGTAAACTGGAGTATGCAAAATCCTTCGATGAGACTATTACATAGCCTGATTTGGTTTTCGGACAATACCTTGAAGAATTATTAGCCCAAAGAATAGCTTCATTTTTCTGTCATTTGTAGGGATCCATTTTTTACTGTGGGGATCCATTTTTCACCTTGATATCTTTGCTCGATTTGCTTTTCTTTCTTGTTCTGCATAGTTGTTTGTTTCTTTGACAATTATTTCCATTAGATTTGAATCCAGAAACATTTATAAAATATCTAAAGGAGCGTAGTTTATGTTTACAGGAAAAGTTACACCTGGAGTACCTTTAAAAAGGAACTGCGAGGGCCCTAATCGGCCAGAATCAGTTATTTCACACCAGTCTTTAGCATTTCCTATATCATCATCATCGGTATCCGTTCATTCACTGCTACTTTCAATGTCACTCTCCTCAGTTTCACCTGCATCACTAATATCGATACCTTCAAAATCTTCATCTTCGGTTGAAGAATCTAAATCATCTATATAACGTTTCAAAGAACTGGACGTCATTTTACAACAAAAAGATCCCACACACTTTGAACCAAAGAACTTCTAACCTCTAACCTTTGAAATCTTCAGTAAAGTGCTGCCATCTACTGAATTGAACGCACATTAAATTTTCCCGAGATACAGTTTCGGGTGTAACAATACAATGCACTCAAAAAAAAAAAAATTACCCCGAGTTATTCTTGGGCGTGACATTTTTGAACACCAGTGCTGCGCGAGATTATCTCGGGCATGACAGTTAAAAGGTTAAGCTAGTTATGTGAGACCCTTCAAATGTAAATCTGACTTATTATTCCCCCCCCACACACACACTTATATAGACTTGCAGTTATTTTGAAAAACTATAGTGACTGAACTATTGTAGAATTGCACAGAATTTAGCTGTAAATATTGATTTAAAAAAAAAAAAAACCTGCATTTGGAAAGAAAATCCAACATGTCTGTGTATTTGTTGTAAGGAGCATTATTCTGCATTAATTATGTTACTTAGCTATAAACAAGCAAATGGCAATATGTATTTCTTATTTCAGGAAATAAAGGCAAAACACTACTTCTTTAAAAAGAGAAAGTGGTTTCAGATTATCTGCCAAAACTCATAAAACATTAAATAAAATAAACACTGATATAAAGCTGAATCTTTCTTAACCCTTTGTGGTGCACTACACTTTAAAGTTGCTATTTCAACAAGAAAAGCTCTATGCAGTCTATCTAGGGCTAAAGAGTATACAGATAAAATTTTAAAATTTTGTAAAAATTGCACTTACCGTCTCAATTCTGTGGGTGTTCCATGAGGTAAAGGTTGTTTTAAGCGGCACCAGAGCTTTAAAGTGCGACTAAGCGAGCATTGCAGTGAAGCATGGAAATGAGTAGAAGCTTATATATAGTAATGAAAAAACACTGTATTATAGCTGTATACATGGTTTTCTGGATATACACAACTTTCTTGAATATATATGAATAAATGAGGTAAATATATTACAAGTCCCATATACAAAATATACACAAGTCCTATATACAAAAATATTTACAGATTTTTCGATTTCATAGCTTTGTGAAATTTTCAAAGCGTCACATCTTTTTGATAGAAGCACAAACCAACTTTGCAGGTTTTAAACAAAAAACTTGTTTTGTGCAGCTTCTGTTCCATGCAACACAATATGTTTATAATTCCAAGTAAAAAGATCTACACAATTATTGTAAATAAACGAGAATGAGAGTAAAAAGCGATAGCAAAATAATTCGCAGAGCTACCCTAAGTAAAGATGACTCAAGCTACTGATAAAACTTACGTCTGAAACCTACTCACAAAAATTTCAAGATGCCCATATTAGGGCTTTCATAGCACAAGCCACACCTCACCCCTCAAGACTGCTTTGTTTGAATTCATTCCTCCAAAACAATGTAAATAGAAAACATACACAACAGATGTTTTCTCCTAAGACAGATGTTCTGATGCGTAACAGCATGAGATTGCTAAAGGCGCAGTGTTCCCACTAATGGAACACCCTGTTTAATTTAATGATTCTGTGCATGCTTTTTGTATGAAATATGTAAAAAAAATATGTAACAAATAATATAGAGTACAGCCATCAAAATTATACGAAATTTTTTTTTCAAACAAATTTTTTTCCATCATAAAAGAATATAGAAAATAAGTGGATTTTAATAACACATCATAAATGAAAATTCTGGGTCTCCTTGTGATATGCTGCCATCTACTACTTAAAAAGAGAAGTTTGAAGTATATTATAAAGGCATTTATCCATTTACAGTTGAATTTAACAGTTTCAGAAGCGATTCAATTTGGGTGTTCCATGTAGTGGAACACTGAGCAAGAAAGGGTTAAAGTAATGGTTAATTGCTGATATGTAAAATAAATAGGATGTGTGTTTATTTATGTATTGATAATTTTATTTATTTATTAGGTTCAACAAATGTTGTACCCTTATCCAAAGAGCTTTCTTCAGAGGTAAATTTTTTTTTTAATGTTTATATGCATTTACTTTCATATATATGTATACATAACTTCAGATATTCGTTTGAGAAAATAACTTAATTTTATGAATATTATTCTTATGAATATATCTTCTTACTTCAAATTTCCTTTAACATAAAATTATTTTGATGAAAAGTATTTTGTCTAACTGATCAGCAGAATGCTTTCAATCTTGAATTTTAATAATTTGCAAAAATTCATCTTCACTGTATTTTTTATTTAATTTTAGACTGGGTTATTGTAGAAGTTGGTATTATTAAAAACTAAAATCATTCTGTTGAGGTGTTTTAATTTGAACTATGAAAGAATAAAGAGATATAATATAATAAACTCCCATTTTTTCAAAATTTTAGTTTGTTCATATAAAAGGTGAAGTTCCATAAACATAAATCAAGAAGAAATCATTTTTAAGTATGTCCTATAGATCAGATAATTGTATGGTATGTATGAATGCAATTTCATGAAAATGCATCACACTTACTTTCACCTGGCAAGGAAGAAAGGAGAGTTAAAAAAAAGGTATTCAAAAATTGTTAGTTGAAGATTAAAATTAGAATAATCACTTTTGATAAGAGTGGAAAGTGAGAATTCCGATTTAGTTGTTAAAATTTTACATAAATTTAATGGAAGAAACAAGGAGTAAAAACTATTAATTTTTATACTGAAGATTAAATTCTCCCCTTTTTAAACCAAGATTGATTAATTTTAAATATGTATTAGTTTATCTAATGTATAATAAGTTACACTGGAAAACGTGATATAAATACCTCAGAGATTTAGATCTGTGAATGAAAGATATCATGCATATTTTTTAAGGAAGAATTGCTTAATATCACAGCTGGCAAAGGATTAAAGAACTGAATCATGTGTTTTCATTTTAGAAAAGTAATTTTCAGTGAGTTAGGCATATGAAAAATCTGTGTAGTTTTATAATGAATGGAAAGAAGGGGATGAAAAATTAATTACGATGGTTATTTTTAATGAAGAAATAGTGACCATTATGATTTTAAAAACTCATCAATACTGAAAAATTGAGAAAAGTCTCAACAGCAAAAGCTCTTAGATAATTGAATTTCTCAATTAAACAAATTCCAAGACCAAAACTTTAACCCCTTATGTAAGATCTTGCCTTCTTTTCAAATGCATTCTTCTTCTTTTTTACTGAAATTATTGCCATATACATATTAAATCTTGCCAGTTATGAAATAATATACTGTTGTGTAGTAGTTACTAGGCTAACAGTTTAAATTTCAGTAAAGTTTGAATGTTTATGAATATTAAGTCATACATTATAGTAAGTAGGGGCATGTAAAATCAGCCTGCCCCCAAATCCTCTGATTTGGTTAGTCACTGAGACAGAGCGGTATGAAACCTTTTGGTGTTATATTTCTTATATACTCTCCCCTTAAAGGGCGATTGGGGATTAGGGGACCCAGTCACCAAATCCTGGAGGTGAAGAATCATCATTCACCACCTTTTAGTCACTGTAGCGACAAAAAAAAAAAAAAATAAAAAAAAAAAAAAAAAAAAAAAAAAGAAAAAAAAAAAAAAAAAAAAAAAAAAAAAAAAAAAAAAAAAAAAAAAAAAACAAAAAAAAAGAAAAAAAAAAAAAAAAAAAAAAAAAAAAAAAAAAAAAAAAAAAAAAAAAAAAAAAAGAAAAAAAAAAAAAAAAAAAAAAAAAAAGGTTTTTTTTTTTTTTTTTTTTTTTTTTTTAAAGCAGAGGAAATGAAAAATGAGCAATGCCTTTGCTGGGAATCGAACCATGGACCTCTTAAACACGAACCAAGCATGCAGTCCATTACACCACGAATGCAAGCTAAGAAGGCGGGGGCGGGAGTAATACTTTATAACGTCACAGATAATTCAACTGAAAAATCATGCGATGTTCCGTTTATGATACGATATGATGTAATTTAAATTTATACAACCATATAGTCGCAAACTAGTTACTCTTCAATTTAATCTACAATGATATGGTTTTTGTCTTTTCTGTTAGTACTAACTCAATTGCTGCTATTTGCTGGTATGCACGTCCAAGTATTTTCTCTTTGAACACCCAACTTCCTTGAAGTAGGTTCCCCTTTAAATCTTTGCTTACCCTCCCCCCAATTTCCTTCTTTACTTCTACATTTGTTTTCAGTGCTGACATAAGAAAATTAAGATTTTTCTATTGTTACACTTCCATAAATTTTGTATTCCTATAAATTTTTTCAAAATATCAGTTGCATCAAATGCAAGTTTAAAGCAAAGTCCAAAGGTAAATATTTGAATCAAAAGATTTTTGTTAAATGAGAAAGAAATGAACGACTCCAGGAGCGCTTATCCTGTACCATGGAGTGGCCCGATTTTTATATCGAGTGCAAACAATCTAAATTATATTATTTAGAGTTTTTAAGCCTAATAATTTCTATATTAAAGAACATGTTTTTTATATAATCTACAACACGAGACAAAATTACTATTTAAAACATTCTTTCTAAAAGGATTAATGTAAAAATTTATATATATATATTTTTTAAAGCTGGGACATGACCCAAACTGCCGACGTCCTGTACGCTTAAAAACATTGTGAAAATAAACATCAAATGAACTTTCTCAGTTTTAGACAATTCAATATAAATGAAGTTAAAGCAAAGTAGCAGACGATTAACCGGCGAAGGTAAATAAATATGTACTCTTACAACATTAAAAAAAAAAAAAGAAAAGAAAAGAAAAAGAAAAAAAAAAAAAAAAAAAAAGAAATTTTTTTAAAAAGTTAAAAATTTGAATAATAGCATCTGTAATTAAAAAAAAATAGCTTTTCATATAGTTTTAATAAATATTTATTACGCATCGAGGGAAAAAATTTCTTGTAATTAATTCTCTGGAAAAATTTATTTGAAATTTTAGGTTAGAAATAGCTGTGGCAATTCTAACAAAATCCATAAACCACATTTGGTGTTATTATCGCTAAAAAAAAATGCCAAATTTCAAAACACAAAAATATGTAAATTTGTGAATATCTTAGAAAATTTTGAATACAAAACTTAATTTTTTGCAGGTATGCTTAGAACTACACCTTTAGGATGATGGTAAAAATTTTATAGGTTATAATTTAAAATGTTTTTCGAAAAATTTATAAGAATTATTTTAAAATAGAAATTTTAAAAATACAACACAAAAAATGGTTGAATTTTATTTGGAATGAACCTAAATTTCAAAATGTGAAAGGAAGAATCAAAAACGTTTAATGAAAAAAGAGATATTAATAAATATATGCCAAATTCAATTAACATTGAGGAGCTAAAATTTTGAGAGCCAATTTTTTAAAAACTACTCGTATGATTTTTACAAAACTTGGCAGTCTGGCATAATTTGAGTCATAGAATCAAAATATATAAAAAAATTGGTATGTTATTTCAAAAAAGTCCGATTTTGTGTCAAAATACCTATGTTAGAATAGTGCTGTATATAAATCTAATATATATCCTGAGTCGCGCTTTCGAGACATGAAGAATGCAATTTGAATTTTGTCAATCGGCCCAGTAGAATGGGTGATATAGAACTGTCCCAATTTTCTTTTTTCGCACTGTACATTATGTCTATACATTATTACAATATGGCTACATTGCTTAAATGAACTCAGATATCAACTTCAGAATAAACACAACTGGCTTCAATAATCTCAGAAGCAGAAATAATTTGCCTAGTGTCCATTGGTATGTTTTACCAAATGCAGATCCACCAGTGACCGAGTGGTAAGCTCGCTGAACAGGAATACTTCAACTGAGGTTCACATTCCAGGAAAAAGGCTAGCTACATAGGACATTTCATGGTATTCTCCATGTGCAACCCAGTTTCCCTTAAAAAGTCCTCCATGAAGGCATCACTCATTGTAGGCAGATAACCCTTATGTGCTTTGTTTTAATTTTATAATCCAATCCAACTGTACAGAAAGGAAATGAAACCAATTTATTGATGTAATTATTCGTTTAAAATTTGCTGTGTTATAGCTGAGCCTATGTGATGATACAGCATGTTGAGTTAAGGATAAAATTAATGTTTCTTAAACATATAAAAATCTCTGTCTCTCTCTCTCTTTTTTTTTTTTTTTTTTTTTTTTTTTTTTTTTTTTTAAGTGGTTTTACTGCTGGAGATGAACTTCTTAATTTTATATGATTTTACGTATTGAAATATTTTTGGTTGATACTAAAATTAGAAACTTGGTGATCATCTTATTAAACATATATGATGTCTTAATGCCAGTATATATTTACGTTCTCAGAAATACTAAGCTCATCTATCTATTTATATGTAATTATATGCAAAATTGAAGTACAAATATTTTGTAATGTACAGCAATCATTTTATTTATGTGTCATGTCTTACTTTGACCATCAAATCTTTAAGCTTTTGATTTGCATTTGCCAGTTTTATTGGTGTGTTTAATTTAAATCCTTTTATGTGTAGGAATTACAGATGAAAAGTCATTTTTATGATAATGAAATATTAGAATTGAAACATGGATCTAAATCAAGTACACAGTCTTTAAAGAGCAAGGTAAATAATCCTTTTCATTACATTTATAGTTTCATTTAATAATAAATTATGCAAATGAATATTAGGTTAAATTCATTCTGAAATTTACATCTTTATGAAATCTGAAACTACATGCATTTATCTCATAAGGGAGAAAAATTTCAATTGAATTCTCATTACAAAAATTTCATATGTTTGCTTAATAGAATCTAATTGCACTCTATTTATTCTAAGATAAAATTACGCATCAGATTTTATTAATCATGTAATATAATAATCAATAAAGACAGAAAATCAGAATTTGTGTTTATCCATAAGCTTCCCTCCTCCCTACTTTTTTGCATATAATAAATACAAAGAAATCTCTCTGTTTTTCTGAAGTAATACATAATATTTAAGTTTTAAAATTCTGTTGTTAATCTTACTATAAATTTTAAACCATAAACAATGAGTGAAATAATAGGAAATAATCAGAAAACAAGTAAATAAACATGCAACACAAAGGGTGAATAAGGAGCACAACCGCAAGGGTCTTTTCTTATGATGTCATGCTGTCATGCTGAGGCCTTTGTAACTATCTAGAAGATATTGGCTCAGCAGACTGGATAACAAATACATTTGTATTTCAAGTGCAACTTTTCGAATTTTACATTGCTGGATATGTTGGGACGGAAAATGCACAAAAATCATAGAAAATTTTTACCTTTCATAAGCAGAAAATTAAAAATAATGAAGTTAATTTACATTTTTAATATAATTGGAAGCAATCTGCACTTTTAATTTAGCTTTTTCCTTTTTGTCCCTCATTATGAATTGATGAAGCATACATTTAAAAATATGAGAAATTCTATCTTTCTTACGATAAAGCATCTATTGTTTTCAATAACTGCATTTGGCATCCTGACAAAACTGTGTTGCCACTTCAAGAAAATATTTATTGTAAGCTTCATTTGCAAGCAGTCTGGCAAAATAAATGCACAGTGACATTTTTAGTGATTAAATCTTTTCTTTATTAAATAAGCATCTAAGTCTCATATGATGATAATTAAAGGTGAAATAATCATGGCAGGTTTTTTTTTTTTTTTTCTTTCTTTTTTTCTTATCAATTGTCATTACTGTTTTTGAACAGCTTATGTTAGATACACAATTAGTTCTTAAATTAACAGGCTCACCATTTAGCTTTACTCAGCATTTTAATTTTTTTTTTTAACTTGAAGCTTTAATCGTCGTACACTTTTCTAAGCTGTAATATTATATTTTTTTGCTCTTTTTGTAACAAGCTCCAAGGCTTGTTACTTATTTGTATTAGTACTTAAACATGCAGGTACGGTTCCTATATTAAGACATTTTAATGTTAATTTCTAAATTAATAATAAATGATAAATTCACCAAAAAATTATTTTAATGAACAGAGAATGTTTATACATAACCAATAGCTTATGCTGATATATTGTTTTAGTTTCATTAAGATGAAAACAGTAAAATTTTAAAATATTCAATTCATTGGAAGTATTTAATTGTGGGATATTAAGATTATGTCTATCTAAAAATTACACAAATAATATAACAGTTATTTTGTACAAAACGTGACACTGAAAATGCAACACCATGAAGGCATGTGTAGAAAAGGATGAGATCACAATGAAAAGTAAGTGATGTTTATTGCAACATTGTACACTTATAAAAAAGTGCCGCTATACAGCATGCTCAGTAAGTTGTAGGCAATACCGGCAGCAGCACATCTATATACAAATGCATAGAGTGTGAGGATTATCTCCTGAAGGATAGATATCCATTCCATGTTAACAATTTGCAACAGTTCATCTTCTGAATATGGCAGTGTCAACACACTCAAGGGACGTGAGAGATCCAGGGAGACGGGTGATCAGGGAAGCACCTAGGTACTTTTCAAAGCATGTTGACTTACGTATGCTGTGTTCAGTCAGTTGTTAAATGGAATTTGGCACCCACTGAAAAAAAAGCATATGTTATCGGATGGGGCATATCATCCATGTATTGTTGCATCATCATACTGTGAACAATACGAACTAAGGTGATCTGTTCTCATAGGCAAATAATGCCCCAAATCATGATTGCACAATGTGGCATTACACAGTTACATCTACATTGGACCTGTTACAACATCTCTGACAGACTAATATATATGGTAACTGTCATTATTTAAACAAACGCATGACTCATCAGAAAATGCCACATTATGCTGCTCTGAAGCCCATGTGGCTCTACCCCAACACCATTACAAACGGAGTCACCTGTGTGGTGTAGGCTCAGTGGCAGTCTTCTTAATGCACATCTCATGTCTAGGCCACTGGTTGCCAATCTGCAAATGATGGTTCTGGTCGATATAGGAACATCATATGTGTTCTGCAATGGCCGCAAAATATTGATAGAATATTGAAAATAGAAGTTGCCTGTGGATGCTTCAGTTCACACATGCTGAGGTCATTCTGACAGCACCACCATCCGTGGAATGTGCCACATTCCCCTCTTCCAGCTATCTTCACCACAGCCAAGATACTGTAGATGCATATAGGTGCTTGTCCACTGCTTTTCGGTATAGGGACCAACTTGCTGTTCTCAGTCTGATCACTATATGCTTGTTGTACTCATCTGTCTACTGAAAGTACTTCTGTTGTCAACATCCTCTGTTGACCATAGTAACGCTTCTTCTGCGGCAGAACAAGAGTTTGCAAAATAATTACTCTGGCCAAAGGAGGAGAGCAACTATTGTCAATTCTGCTGATTCCTTCTCTTTCTCGATTCATTTGTGTGAAGATGTAATATCATTTGCTTAACTCGATGCACTGTGTCTGTCCTACAATTTGCATATTCTTCAAAGCATGCTTTCATGGTGTTGCATTTTCACTGTCATGTAGTGTATTATGTGTGTATAGTGAGATATTTTTATTGTGTATAATTCCTTTTTTTCAGTCTTCCAAAGCATGTGTCATAATATAGTCATCCAAAGAAATGTGAAACAAACTGAACAGTTTTATTTGTTGTGCTTTTGCATGTTGTTACCTACAAATGATAATCATCTATGTATACACTAGTATACTGTTATGTATATTTATAAAAAATAATCAGAGAGCTTTTATATATTTATACATACTTTTGTATGCTCAAATGAAGGTAATGTTTTCTTGCCTTAGCTTTAAATATGTAATGTGGTTTTTTTATCCTGTTTAAGCATTTATAATGTTTTTACGGACTGTATGTAAAAAGTACTTTTTTTTTATAAAAAGCTAGATCAGTTCTAATAACGTTTTAAGTTCTGAAAAAGTTAGCATTGTATATACTTTGAAAATGTTGTTACATCATATAAGAGATCTGTGTGCAGATACTGAAGTCTGCATTTTAAGCAGTCCTTTTTGCAGAAATTATGAAGAGCTGTTAAGTTATTAAAGATCAAATATATATATATATATATTACATTAAAAAAACTGTCACTTTATGTAAACTCAAAATTAACTTTATAACTTTATATGTGTATTATGTTATGAATTAATAAAATTAATGCCAAATTTATCATGTGAAATTCTTAGCACGCCAGTTATTTTTATATTCTGGTTTTAAAACATAATGTAAATATGGTGGGAGAAGTTTTTTAGGAATAATATTTAAATTTAGAACTTCTGATGATTATATAAGTATTTCTGTAAATATAAAGGCAGCTGAACTGTGTACTAATTTTTCTATCTTGATAATTCAAGAATATTTAACCATTATATGAAAAAAGACATTCTTGTTGAATTGCAGAAATGTAGAAAAATTTCCTACCTTGGAAGCTATAGCTCCTCAGTTAAATAACAGTAAAATACAAGGAAAAGGTATCCAACAGTTATGAGAAATTTGTATGATTTCATTATGCATTACCAGATAAATATCAATATTGAAGAATCTTTTTAAATAAAAATGGTCTTTTAATAGGTTTTGATGGATCAGGACATTCCCTATACTTTTACCTACAAAATTTATAAACTCAAGAACTTCCTTTCAAGTACAGAACAATTTATATATATATATGTTGAATGATCTAAAATTCGCTTAGTTCGGAATTAAACTTCCTACGTATGGGTTTCCTCTGTGATACTTCTACTAATTTATATTAGATAATATAAACAATATTTCTTTAGTAAAAATTATATATATATGTATATAATTGTAAAGGTTTTTATTATCTTGATGTAAAAGCCTTAAGGGGGAACAAAAACTTTTTACAGAACTATCTGCTTTAACTTTTAAAATGGTAATGGGCTAATTATATAAATTTTTTATACTGTGTAGCAGCTAGTAAAAATAAAGCTAAGTACATTTTAAAAACTCACATATTCTTACATGTAATAAAAACTACATGTAATAAAAAACACATGAAATTCCATATTTATATTTAATAAATAGTGTAACCAGACTTTTCTGGCAACAATCCAAGATAAAGGTTTAAAATAAAAAAACATTTACACCAATAATGTTTTTCTATGCATGATACTTTTGTTACGTATTTCATTATTTAATGAAATCCACAACAAAATTATCATGCATTCCCCCCCCCCAAAAAAAAACCACCATTCAGGAAATTTTACTTAATATTTTCCCCATTGTCGAATTGATAGGAATGGTAAATACAATCAAAAGTCGTTAATCCGGACTCGTCGGGACTTCGGCGATTCCGGATTATAGATCAAATGTTTAAATCTGGTAAAATGGCATGAAGAAATTATAAAATTAAAAAAATGAAACCGTAATTTACGAAATAAAGAACAATTATGATCTAAAGTGTATCAAAATTTACAAAAAAAAAAAAGCTTAATATTTATTTGTTTACTTATTAAACATTTCTTTCAATGTAAGTTGTTTAAGTTGCTTCGTTTTTATGTGATAATACATTCTCTTTAATTCTATAAACATACATAATTTCTTGTTCAGTTACAAAGTTCCGCTGTTCAAATCCTATAATTGCTGTGTCGAGAATACCGACTAATTTGTTTTGTTATTGAAAACGAAATTGTTTCGTTTTCAATAACCTCTGTTACTTTCTTCACTATCGGAAGCGAATTATAATGATGAGGCATTTGATTTAAATCATATCAAAGACGGAGTATATCGAAATGAAATACTACATTTAGTAAGCAATTATAAGCCAAATAAAATAAAAACATCTGCCCTGAAGATAAGGATAGTGCTGACAGATCAACTTTCAATTCATTGCGCGGCGCCGCAGCGTTAAAGATAAACAAAGTTTAGATAAACAAAGGATATGCTTTTATCCATTTTTTGCAGCAATTCCACTTTTTGTTTAATGGACTCCGAAACATACTTTCGCTTTGTAGATCCGTTACATATTAGTAAATATAAATCGGAAATTCTATTTGACATAATTGAAAGTTCAAGCTTACTTTTATAAAATTGCTCTAACAGTCTGCAAAAAATAATAAGGCGGATCCAATTTGAAGATTAAGGAACAACGCAATCTGCAACATTAACTGAAATAGATAATTAGAGCTTTGCTTATACCGTTCGTTATGCATTAAACGCGCATTCGTAAACGTATTTTGCGCACGTGCACACGCAAATTCGCAGCCGTAAAGGTCTTACGTCAACGCGACGCATGCGCAGAAAGTTTGTAGCTTTGAGATAATTCCGGATTATGGGTGTCCGAATTAACGACTTTTGACTGTACTGCTCTTTCCACCTGGATTTCAGTCTTGTTAATGGATTGACTGCATTGGTGTTTTCTTGTAGTTTTCTCCATCTAACATAACATATGAGCTTTCCTTAAAATATGAGCCACGAAAACATTTTCTTTCTTTGTTATGTAATCCTCAAGTGCTTTGCCATATTCAATTTCAAAACACACTCATATTTTTACAGAACATACTCATATTTTCATTCAGATCCTACTAATGTGCCTGCTTATATAGATTGGCACTGGCCAAAACATTGAGTATTTATGAAATGAAGATTGTCCTACACAATCCTAAGATGTTTGATTATCCTAAATAATAAATGGTGTTTGAAAGTGTCCCATGGGTATTTTCATAATTTCATAAGTCTATGATGAAGATTCTTTTGAAAATTTCTTCACAAAAGCATTCTACCTAAATTTATTGCTATTTGCCTGGTTATGTCAAATGATAAATGCTCTGGTAGCACAGCATAATAATATAAAGCTATAAACATAAAACAGTTAAATACATGTCTCTAAGCTTTCTACAAAACGTAACAGGTATATTATTTATGCATATATAATGATTATTTTATTACTGAACTGAATAATGTACATGGTAGAAATTATTAATTTCATTAACATATTAAAAAATTATATAATTATATACTGTGTCCTAAGGTTTTACCCAGCTTTATTTTTGCATCCATTCGTTGACACTTTAATTAAAAAAAAATCTGTTTTGGTGAAAATTATAATATTTAAATTTATATATGTTTTTCACGTCCTTATAATTAGGAGAATTTTTTTACTCATTAAAAAAATTTTTTACTCATTAAAAAAAAGTGTGATTCCCATATGACAAAAATAGAGTGAGATATTCTACTTTAAAGCTGGAAGTCATATTCAGGGGCCATACGTAAAATGAAAAGTAAAATGTTCTCATTACTTTAAAAAAAAGATTTCTGACATTAACAGATAAAGTAGCAAGCACTTCTTTGCAGGCTATGAAGAAAAGTATTGATCAGTACAATTTTGTTTCAAAAAAGAAATTTTGTCAAAGAATCTTATAGAACACATACTCTGAAAAATACATGAAGGCTTCAGTATTGTTACATAGCCACCTAGAAATATTATTTGCATTAATTAAAAATATTTCTAATTTAATGAAGTTTTGGTATGATTATTAGATAATGATTTTAAACTAATAAAACATCATGGAATATTAATGTATATTTAGTGTTTGAAATGTATAAATTACTTGTGTGAAAATTCTTTTGGCATGCCAATCGTAACTAAATTACAAATTAAAGAATGTTATTCACTAGTAAATAAAAAATTAAATAAATAAATAAAAAATTTGAATATCGTTTAACCTAAATTATTCTAATTAATTTATTAATTGATTAAATTATAAATGATGTCATATATCCAAAACTTTGAAATTAAATATGTCAGTCAATTTTTGTAACCTACGAATCAAACTTCATGTTGCATTTCATTATTTATAACATGTATAAATATAAGTATAGGAATCAGAGAACTGCATAAAGAGCAAGATTTTGAAATTTTTATAAAATTTTAAAATGCCAAATTTTGAATACTTATGTTGGTTTAAAACATTTTTGTAACTCAAAGTATAGGTTAGACACATTGTGTATTATGAATTTGTGAGACACATTGTGTATTATATATTTTTTGACACATTGTGTATTATGAACAATAAATATAAGTATTATTAATATTTATATAAATTATTTATTAAGAAACATTTTTAAATAGCTCATTTTTCACCCTATTATATACTGATATAATGTGAAAGTAAAAAAAAAAAAAAAAAAAAAAAAAAAATGTTTTCAAGTAATCAATTTCAAATTAAAAAGGACTAGCAATAGCCAGTGTAAATTGGCACATTACATGAATGATTATTTGAGGGCAGTATCATATAATGTGACATCAAGAATGCAAAGCTGTATTTAGCTGTTAGTATTTATTTAGAATTAATTCTAATAATTGTATAATAAATGACAATTATGACATCTGTCACTTTTGTACAGAATGTTTATTGTCCCATTCATATTGTTAATAAAATGTATATGTATTTTTCATAGTTCTCATGTTCATCATCAAGTATACTTTGCAAATGAAAAGTTTGTATAACTTCTAAATATTACTGCACCATGATCTTGTAAATGATGTTAAATATTATTGACCATGAATTCATCTATTGCCATAATCCAGATGGGCATTCTTTATTTAATGGCCCTTTTTGCCATATAAATATTGTGTGTGTGTGTATGTTTGTTTTCCTTAAAATGACTGTTCTTAGAAAAAAAAAAAAAATTAAAGAAATGACAACTGAAACTTACTGACATAATGTATTTTCTTTTTTACAAATTCCACTTCACAAACTGTATGTTGTTTACAAGCTATCGTATTGATTCCAAAAGTGTTATGGATTTTTTAGGGATGTCATCCCTATTTACAGGCTAGCAGTTTAACGAGGTTTTTTTGCAATCTCAAGTGAATTCATAAATTCAAAAATACATTTTATTTCTGCTTTTTTTCTTCACTGTTTCATTATTCACTGTGCAGTAAACATTTATTTATAAAAATTATTTCTGATATTTGAAAATACAAATTCAAATAAGGAAATTTAAACTTTTTTTTTTTTTTTTCTTTTTCAAAATTTGGTAGTCTGTTGTTCTTGCACATGGATTTCCTCTGCCAATATTTTTGTATTTTCATGAATTGTTGATGCAATAATGTAAAAATAAAAATATTTTGATGCTTTTTCTTTAATTTATTGATCTTATTTTATACAAAGACTTGACATTACCATAGTATTTAAATATAATTTTAATTATGAAATAATTAGTATTTGGTTTTATTTTGACAAATGGTTGCTAGTTTAAATTAAAGCATTTCAATCCACTCATTTCCCCTTGAAATTTTAATTTGCCCTGCAATTGAATTATTCATAGACCCAAATTAGAATGGAACCATTCAATTAGTACCAAAAAAATTTGTATTTCTTTTACACTTAAATGTGCAAAAGTCCATAAGGTTTTTACATATGTGAGCATTACAGACTTTTTTCTTTTTAAATTTATTTATTGTTTTGCAATCATATAGTATTCTGAACAAAAACATATAAAAATATTCACAATTTAATAAATGGATCAAATATAATTAAATTAAAAGGTCTTTCGAGTAAAAAAAATGTAAAGTATATGATAATCACTAGTATAGAGAGGGTTCAATTCTTAAAAGTAAATTTCTTTTACTAGATGATTATTTATTGTCTCCATAAATTGTTATATAAGCATATATGGTGTGACAGTGTTTAAACAGTGTGTCCAATCATGTTTATGTAGTACATATATATTACTTTAGAAAGTAATAATATTAATATATAAGCAGTAGCCATTTTATTACAATTACATGCACTGGTAACACAAATACAAATATTCTCATAACTATTATAGTAGAAGATGAAAATCTGTGTTGCATGTTGTATATCAGTACTGAAATTTACAGTTAGTAAGACTACAAACAAATAAGCTCGTAACTATTATATAACCGTATTATAGTATTAATTAAAAATTAGAAATATGTAGCAAATGACATCATAGCAAAGGTAAACAGATTGTGGAAGACAGTTTTCACTTTTTGTTGGTTAGGAAAAAAGCAGCTGAGTTAAGACAATTGCATTAAAACTGTACATCAGGTAATGTGTGCAGAAAACTTAGGCAATAGTTTGCAGCATTAGGATATTTTTAGTTTCCTTATTGAGTACTGAAACAAGTTATCATATTCTATTTATTATTGTTTTTATGTCTATCACCAAATAATTTTAAAAGAATGTCCACAGGCAAGTTGACTAGCAAAGTTAGTTGTTACACCAATAAATTAAAGTTTTTACTATACCATGACAGTAGATGTATATAGTGCCAACCACATATGACAGTGGAACCTTCATTCATGATGAGAGCTAAATCAGTTAATAGGAATAGTGTATAGTGTGGTTAGTTCTACAAGGTGCCATTTGTTGTATATTATGACTTTGGGAGTCGATTAAACAGCATGTTATCCAAATGGCATTGACATAGTCTCAAAGTGACAATGCATGGTGCTAGTGAGAATTGACAGACTGAATGATTCTCGATATTAATCCTATATTATGACTTTGGGAGTCGATTAAACAACATGTCTATCCAAATGGCACTGACATAGTCTCAAAGTGACAATGCATGATACTATTAATCCTACAGCGTATCTGTCAGATGTTTCAAACTCCCCTCCTGAAGACATAGACCTTGCTTCAAAATTCACAGTCTCATTATGAGTTGCTAATCAGAAAAACAAAAGCTAAATGCTTTTGGATATATATCAGTGCCTGGTAGAATCCATAGTACGATGTGTCTAGATCATCCTCCATTGACAAAGATGGAATGATAGTATTAGTGAGTGGTTAATGAACAAATCACAATTTAATTAATTCTGAGTAAAAACAGGAATTCCATTATTTCACTCAGAGCATTCCAATAATTCTTTATTAATATAATAACAAGAAAATAAAAATAAAATGCTAGAATGAAACCTATATACTATTCCAAAATAATAACTGCTGACTTCACAGAATAATCAAAATTATTTAATATGTTTTGCATTACTTAATAAAATAAATTTTTACATCTGGAACTAAATCATTAATTTGAAGTTTTCTTTATAGTTGGCGGTCATAAAAATTTTATGGGTATAAACTAATTTTATGAAAATACAATTTTTGGATTTTTTACACTTTCAGTTAATATAATTTTGTCTAAGCCATCACAGTACTTATTATATATCTAAGTCATTAATACTCAATATGTGATATTATAATTAATTGTAAATTACCTGGGGTTAATCTTAGTCAATGTGCCGATAGACAACAATTCACATTCAAGTTAAGAACCTGGCAGACATTAAGTCATGAATATAAACAGATAGATGTAAATTGTTAACTTCAGTATTACAGATAGGTGCATGATGTGGAAGGCAAGTAATAAAAAAGTCTGCTACTTATTGGTGTCTGTAGCTAGAATTTAGCACATTGGCTACATACTGATATGGGCATATTGTCTGTAGAATAACAGACTAAATAATAACTTAGTAGAGATCTGATGCATAACATATTACCTAGCAGCCGTGCTGGCCATATTATTCACTTCATACAATACAGCCTCAAAGTAATATTCATGAATGGTTTACATAAAACCCTATTTATTTGAAAATAAGACCCCCCTTTTGCCATATTTTTGTTGGTTGGGTCTTATAAGTGGGCATTTTGATATGTGCCTGAAAACAAATAAGTAACAATGTCCTTGGACTATATCTAATAAGAAAAAATTATTTTGAAAAAAACTAAAGGAAGCCCCCCCCCTAAAAAAAAAAACTCAGAATTACTACAAGACAAAATGTACACATACATTTTTATTTCTTAAAATTTATCCTAAAATGAAAAATCTTATACATGAGAGTTAAGTAAACATGTAATTTAACATCATTTTCCTGAATGTAAAAAATTTCAACTTGACAATAAATATGCAAGAAGAATATGACAGAATTTGTTATGCATAGTAAGAATATTAATACTCAAACAAAATTGCATCAACTCTTTTTACTCTTTTCACTTTCTTCAACGATATAATTAAGAAATTCACGTAAATTTTTAAAATCAGATCTGCCAGGATTCTCTGTCTTTGGGATTTCTGGCAAAATATTTCCAACTTTGTATCGAAATTCCTGGAGCTGCAAAAAATATTACTTTGTATAAAATTTAATATGTTTGAAATGTTAAAATACTGTAAATCTTCATTTCATTAATATTGAAATCATATGCATATAAAAAATCAGCAAACATTTTGCACTTTTTATACTGGCTTATTTCCAAAATAGCTATTTTAAAATAAAACATAAGATATATTAATGATTTCTACCTTATGCATGAAATTCTCTGCATTTATTGCATAATTTCAAAGTAATTTTTGAACTGAAGTAAGCTATTTTAAAATTATAATGATGGTTATTTTAAAATATTAGTTCTCTAGCACATTAGAATAATTTATATTGGCTTGTGAAGACCAGGTCTTTGATTGGGATTTTGGGGTCCCAGAAATTTTCTCCTGTAAAGTTTCACATATGATTGGAGCTAGTTAATAGTTACACATGATTTTTATTTAAATTAGAGATTGTGATGATACAGAAATACAGAAGATTTTTATTTAAATTATTTTACAGACAATTATATTCAGGGATAATAAGACATAATAGGCAACTTTTCTTAATGTACTCTTGAATAACCATATTTTGAAGGATAGTCTCCAAGGTAAAACATTTAACAGCGGGATTCAAAACATTGCTAGTATAAAACTTAGTTAATCAAAAGCATAGTACAAGATGACTAGGAACCCTCCATCTGCCTCCACAAGTCAAATTACAGGATTTATACAGTCCTTAAAAGTACTTAGATTTTTTGGAAACAATTTTTGCTCCTTAAAAGTCCTTAATTTTGACCCAGATCAACAAAAGGCACTTAATTTTACTCATATGTCATTTCTGTCTGTTTTTTACAACTGCCATTTTGAGTATGAATTAACATTTTGAAGGAATATTTTTCGTTTCATTGACAAATACATATTTGATGAGTTATCATTTGAATTGTTTCCTACTTGTTAATAAGGCACTAAAATGCCTTGATTGAAACATTAACATTTCAAAATTATTTTTTTTTTTGAGAATCTTCATAAAATATTACATCAAAAACATCCTTTTTCTTGTTAAGATATGATATCTCTCATTATGCAGTATTAATTTGGCAATTTCAAGATCAGTTTGTATACAAAATTTTTATTTTTATCCAAATATTTGCAATTTTTTTTAGATTTTCCCCCTTCTTTTTTTAGAAAATAATAAAACTGATAAATATCATTAAAATAATAACACATTAAAACTAAATAAAACATTTTTATTTTCCAATGTCATACTTTAAAATGACATTACTTTTCATTTTGGCAATTTAGGAACATTTTGATTCTGAAAAACAAATAAGATAATAAATGCTATAAAACAGTTTCCTAACCACTTCTTGGCAAAAGAAAAAAAGGCTACTTTAGTTATTTTAAAATTCTTTTTTTTTTTTTTTTTATATTTTTAGAATCCTCCTACCTCATGTAATTATTTCAGAATATTCAAATGTGTATCAGTTTTCTCTTAAAAGTTAACTTTACACTTTTCTTTTCTGAATTCTTTATTCAAAAATCTTCTGGTTTTTGCTCTTAACAGAGTTGGCAGAGATAATTTTTAGACCTTGCAACTTGGAAAGTTTAGAAGAATTAGAAAGCAAGATTTGTATTCTATGATTCCAAAAAAACGTGACCATATAAAAGATGTTTTCATGCTGTTAACACATAACGAAAGTGTCTTATAAGAAATTTGTGATGAACTTCTTTTTTTATGAAATTTTTTTGAAAGAATAGTGACAACAAAGCTATTTAAGTTTTCTGCTTTGGGTCCTAGAACTCTTTCACAATTTTCATTAGTAAGTCCTTGTGCTTCTTCATACAATTATTTACTTTCATATCTGTGTACATGTTTAATATTCCTTCATTGAAATATTTTTCCTCGTCAACACTGCTAGGATGAAGATGAGTTCGTTTATTCAGAATTGAATCCAGTGGCAAATTCATTGTGCCATTTTTGCTTCTAGTCAAATGGCTGACCAAGTAGCGTATTTTGTTAAAAAGTATCTGGATATTTTTCATTTCTACCAAGTCCTATAGTATTCTTCTGCAAGCATGATATCGAAATTTAATTAGTGACTTTGGCAGTGTTTCAAAATTTACTTTTTTCAATGTCCTGTATTTCTATGATGAATTCGTGAATGTCATTACGTGACTGGTGTTATCTAGGTTTCTTGTAATCAAATATGTATATAAATTTCTCCAACAATATTAATGTTCTAAATAAATACATGTTTTACAGGTGAAGATATTATGCATTTTTTGGTACTATACACGGGTAAATCATCATTTATCTTTTATCAAGTTTAGGTTATTAAGGCACTCCAGAATCAAATCTTAATTATCTCTTCATTCTGGATTATTGCCGCAGGAGTTCAGAAAAATAATCAAAGTATCTATATCTACATAAATTTACTAACAGTGAGATACAACACAAAAATGTAAAAATTAACATAAAACTTTATTTCTTAGAGCTAGTGATACTTAAAATAACATAAAACTTTGTTTCTAACAGCTAAGGATACTTAAACAACTTCTCTACCTCTGGTGCTTCAGCAACTTATTGAAACTTTATATTAAATACTGTATATTAACTGTATCATAACTCTAGCAATTTTATGTGAAGCTACGATACTAACTGGGTCAGATAAATGAAGTGCAGTTAACTTCAACACATATCAATCTTGCCAATGTCAGGTGTTCATGTCTGTTCTGATTAGTATCTCCCTCTCTTAGCAAACAGCAGTGGTAGCAACAGCCAAGCTTCTATTATGAATCATGCTGGTTATGATTTTACTTCTCATTTTAATCTACGCCACTTGACATACAATTTGCATAAACCTCTGGACTGAGTGAGTATGTGACAAAACAAGGCATAAAAGAAAGAATCAACATAAAACTAACTGTTAGTAAAATTTAAATGTCCTAATCTTCTTTAAAATATGTGGGATTATAAGTGCAAAATATAAATAATATAAGGATAAATGTTGGAGGAATTCTGTAATTTAATGTTAATTACCTGATAAATTTTGTATTGATTTTATTCTATACTATTATTCTACATTCTATTATTCTATATTCTATACTATTATTCTATATTCATTATTCTATACTCTATTTTGTATTGATTTTATTCTATATTTTTATTGAGATTTTTTTTTGTATTGATTTTATTTATTGTAATTTAATGTTAATTACCTGATAAATTCTGTATTGATTTTATTCTTGAATCTGTTTTATAGTTAAGTATTAAATTATGTTTAATTATAATGTATCCTAAATACAGATTTATTTTATTTTTAAATAAATAATAAATATTTGTAAAGTATAAATAATATAAGGATAAATGTTGGAGGAATTTTGTAATTTAATGCTCATTACCTGATAAATTTTACAATGTTGATTTTATTCTCAAATTTGTTTTATAGTTATGTGAAGTATTAAATTATGTTTTACAAAAGTGAAGTTCAGTTATAGATAATTAATTGCTTTACTTTATTCAATTCCCTTTGCTGATAGATCCTTAATTTTTTTCATTAATGGTTCTTAGAAGTACTTAATTTCAATGTGAAGAAATGTGTACGGAATAAAGGATTCTGTATGCAGCATTACCTACTGATTAAAGATGGTACTACTACATAATCAAAGTTGACATAAATGTTCTGTTCATTATGATGTTGCAAGAATTTGTCATCCAGTCTGACAAAAGCTAAAACTCACTAATTGATCCATGCAACCATCATATCACAGGATGTATCTGTCGCACTCTCTCTATCCTATTTGGTGCAGATCGTGTTCTGGTTAAGTTTTATAATAATGGACAAATCCCTTTCAAGAATTTTATTTCAGTTAGGTATTAATGTTAAGATTTAAGCTACTTTTCGGGATTGAAGCCGAGACCTTCCTTACCAAGAATAAGTTTTTGCCGAAGAAAGATATGAAAATATATATATATATATATAAGCCTCTAAGTGACCATGCACAAACAAGATTGTAGTCATCTTAGAGAAGTGAAACTAAGTACTAGTGTTTATGTTCACAGAAATACTTGTCACTTTTGGAAGCAGTCATCTTTAAAAGGCGGTTATCCTGACAGGGTTTATATTAGTTTCAATATCAAGACTAATGATATAATTTGATGAATACAATAATGGTTAAACTGCTCTGATGAATTTCTGAAAATTGGATAAAAAGCGGAAAGTCAAAATGATCTTACCATAATAAACAAATAATTTTTACAAGCTAATGTATGTCATAAAAATCAAATAATTAGTTAAAAACATTTTATCTTAAAAAGAGCCCGAGGCCAGCATAACAGATTATGTCTTATTTTGCATATTGTTAACCATTTTGAAATTATATAATATTCCACTTGGATAATGGAATAATGGATATCATGTTTCATTATTGTACTAATGATAACATATGAAACAGAGTTTAAACTTGGAAAGATTGCATTAATATATTTTTCTTATTTATATTATTTTCTTAAGATTCTGTATTATAGATATCCTCTAAGATTCAATATTTTTCTTATTTCTTATATTTTATAATCTTCAGATTCTTAATATTAATATATTTTTCTTATATTCCATAAGAATGCTTTCATGGAGACAAACTAAAATATAGCCCTAAAAGTTAAATTAGTTTTGTTTATAAGAATCATGTGAAAATTTTAATTGCTTATAATCTACCGCCAGTAGTTGACAGCATATTTAAGACATTAGGGGAACATGTGAAAGCCAGCTAATCTTTCCTCACATAAAGCCAGAGAGAATCAAGCTTCTCCCCTCTTTTGCAAAAACCCAACTATGCTCAAATGGTGCGTGGTTTCAAAAAAGCTAAAATATTATTTGTTTTAATACTTTTGAACATTAGGTAAAACATACATGAAAGTGTTAACTGGTGAAATGTGTGACTAGCATGTTCTCTCTAGTACAGGGATTTCCAACCTTCTTCTTGCATCGACCTGTGCCTTACATTTTTCTCTTTAATATAGACCACACTATATAACCATAATGGTGGAAGAGAAGAGAAAACAGCAGTTTGCATGTAATATTCTTGTCAAATGTAAAGGTATAATATTGACAAACTGCCATTTGAGCATACTTGGGTTAACAAGTTTCAGCATCTGGCATGGGTGAAAGAATATGTATGGATTTTGCTGTGTTTCATTAATTTTGCTTTTATTAAATGTGTTGTGTTGAGTTTAGTTGTTTTTAGACTGCACTTACTGCTTACAAAATGTTTATGTTTTTAAAAAAAATATTGATTTTTAAAATATACAAAATAATTTCCCCCTTTTATTTATTTCCTATGATTTCTTCGATACTACATGATATAGCTTTATATCAGTAAATAATTAATTATTAATTTCATTTGTATATTCTTTGTAATCAAAAAGATGCCTTGAGATCATGTTTATGCCAATCAATTACCCATACATATTCGAATATTGACTTCTTGTTAATTATTAACCCCATTTAAATTTTAATTGATCAACAGGGGGTCTATACCAACTCCAATCGGAACGTCTGCTCTAATCATTGATGGCAAGCCACCGATAATTATATACAACCATTACTAAACCACAAATCTGGAAAATTTCTATTTCAATATCAAGCTCACTAATGAAATTTAAACTAATTGATCCATCATGAAATAATCTGATCTGCTCTTCACAAGCTTTTTGAAAAATAAACAATTTGAATAACTGAACAAAAGTTTTAACATCTCACATATTTACCATGCTGGCAAATACAGAGAAAATGTTCTTAAAATGCAATCTAAACTTTTTTTTTTTTTTACTGTAAACAGTAGATTTAATAGATTTATTTTCATCATGTATTTACCTCACCTTTATTAAAAACAAGTAAAAACTATTCTTTTAATTATATTATGTATCTCAAGTAACAGCAGAAGAAACACAAGTTTTTATTCATTATGTACAATAACGAGCATTTTTAAATGATTAAACTGACCAAGTGTTCATTTTGCTACATAAAAATTATGCATAAATTTTTTTAGCTGGAATCCTAGATCTTGACTTGTTTTTTCAGGTGATATCAGGAAACACACAGTGATATTTTTAATAACTAGAGAAATATATTAATAGTTTTATTATAATTATATGATATATACAAATTAGAGAAATGCAACTTAAGAAATAACATTACAAAGAAACTTAATCAGACACAATACAGTACTGTGTTTGTTGCGACTTATCTCACTTGTCTGACAGTAACATCAGAACAAGCCTACAAAGTTCATCGTGGCAAGGAGTGCAAGACTGCACCTGTTGTTAGCAACAGCCTTGAGCACCATACATGTGACAGTACGACTTTGCTCAGCTCCGCCCCCCCCCTATTTTGATGGAGAACACCACGGAGGATGGGTCCGAGAGGACTTTCGGCTTCTAAACATTGCTTTTACCAAAAATTCTGTAGCTTCATTTCTCTACTTTTTTTTACTATTTTATTTATTTTTATTTTGTATACAGTCAAAAGTCGTTAATTCGGACACCCATAATCCGGAATGATCTATAATCCGGACCTCAAAGCTAAAAACTTTCTGCGCATGCGCATAGGAGTTTACGCCTGCGCATAAGACCTTTACGACTGTGCATATGCGTGTGCGGAAGTGCAGAATACATTTTCGCGTGCGCGTTTAATGTATAACAGACGGTATAAACTAAAATTATCTAATTATCTATTTCAGTTAATGTTGATGATTGCGCTGTTCCTTAATCTTCGAATTGGATGCGGCTTATTATTTTTTGCAGACTGTAAGAGCAATTTTATAAAAGTAAACTTGAACTTTCGATTATGTCAAATAGAATTTCCAATGCTGGAGCTCCCAAAGGATCTACAAAACGAAAGTATGTTTCGATGTCCATCAAACAAAAAGTGGAATTGCGCAAAAAATGGATAACGAACATGAAGGAGGTGACAGAGAGGTTAGTGAAAATGAAAAAATTTCGATGACAAGTTAGTCGTATTCTCGGCACGCTATTACGGGACTTGAACAGCGGAACTTTGTAACTGAACAAGAAATTATATCTGTTTATAGAATTAAAGAGAAATATTATCACATAAAACGAAGCAACTTAAACAACTTACATTGAAAGAAATGTTTAATAAAGTAAAAAATAAATATTAGCTTTTTTTTTTTTTTTTTTTTTTTTTTTTGTAAATTTAATAATACCCTTTAGATCATAATTGTCCTTTATTTCATAAATTACGGTTTCATATTTTTAATTTTAGAATTCTGCATGCCATCTTACGAGATTTAAAACTGATGATCTATAATCCGGAAAAATCGATAATCCGGAATCGCCGAATTCCCGACGAGTCCGGATTAACGACTTTTGACTGTATTAAAATTACTAATATGAAAACTTCATGTAATTATATACAGTAGGCACATCTTTATGTGATCACATTTGTCCATGACTATTCTGATAACATCAAGTGATGAAAAACATATCCTTTAAAATATCAATGGAATTTAACTAATTTAGTATAAATATGACTACAGACATATAAATAATTATTTTATAGCATTCTTAATTAGAAGAAAAAGTCATTCATCTTTGATATTCTACAACTGCTATGCAAAAGTTCATTTACGATTTGTTCATATACATAATTTTGTAGAAATTATTTGACCAATACTGTCGCTATGAATATTAAAATTAGTTTCCCTAATCGTAATACTCATAGGGCATCCCTGATCTTTGCGATAAATTCATCGATTTTTTTCATTATCTTTTTCTTTAGAGAGTTTATCACATTATGTTTAGATTTGTTTCAGAAAGAAAATTTCTCTGTATTTCCTTTCATATTTTAAGCAAATGATGCACAAAATATTAGCGCAAATTTAGTTTACTTTTAATATACTGACTCTGAAACAATCAGAAAATAAGAAAAAACAATTTGGTGAAATACTGAGTTTTGCATATAGAGTGGTTAAATTTGTTTTGTTACAGAAAACAAGATTATAATTGTTTGTAAAATATGGTACTTACATTATTTACTCCCATTAATTTCCATACTCCAAAGCAAAAAGCACTAAAACCTGTTACTGCATAAAAAGTCCCCCAACCAAGGGCTCTCATGGCTAATGAACCACCACTTTCAGGCATGTCCTTTGTTGGCATCATGCCCTAAAAATAAGATTAAAATTTTTATGCTTCACAATTATTTCATTTAGAAATGCACAACATATTTTCTAAGTTAAAAAAAAAAAAAAAATCTTGAAATACTTTCAAATGGTATTTACATTATTACCTTTATACACAATGTATACATCAAAGTTCTTATGCAGCCTTTATTTCTACAACCATTGGTTATAGATGTATACTTTGTAAAAATACTTTAAATAAGGAAAATATTCATTGTTATAGTATTTTTAAGTTTAAAAAATAAATTTTGTAAAAATTACAAAAATCAGACTTTTTTGTAGGGTCTTCTGATTCCTATAGTTATATTTAGTAACAGTCTATACCAGCGGTTCTCAACCTTTTGACTAAGGCGTACCATCTAAACAAAAATTGAAAACCTTTAGTACTACCACTACAAGTACTACTACCATCACTACTCTTGAACAAAGCTAAGATCGCATGAATTTACGAGTGTTAGAGAAAAAACTCGATCAGGATGTTGGAGTTTTAATTTTTGAATTTAATAGTTAAAAATACTGTGCATCTTTGCGTACCACCTATTTTTCTCTTGCGTACCACCAGTGGTTGGTCTATACTCATAATAAAAGGTAAAACTGAAATAGTTGACATACAAGAAAAATTTACTAATACTTGTATATTGTTACAAATTTTGTATATATCTAAATAATTTATTTGCCCAAAAGAAACACTTGTACTTTCTAATGAACCCCAAGTGTTAATAAGAAGTTCTAATTAACCCTAAGTTTCTAATTTATAAATAATATGTGAAATAGTAGTATTTTTTGCATAATGTAAAATGAAATGCTTGAAAGAGAGAAAGCTCTGCTGAAAAAATATGATTACAGGGGTAAGTCTATTTAACATTGAGATATATGGCTATCTTGCTAATTTGGCGAGAAGTCACCAAAAGTCGCAAATTTGGTGACCGTTTGGTCCAGTTTTGGTATAACTGTTATTGGTATTGCTATTGATCCCTATATGTAACTGTATTCGGCCCTTATATGCCTTCCAGTAATTTTAAGAAGTGAAAGATGCTAAAGATTTCTCAGTGGCAGGTGTTTGTAAGAAATTACAAAAGCTCAGAAAGAACATGAATTCTCACTGTTTTAGCTCAGAGTACACTTCAGTGTATTCTGGTCTTCATGCGAATTGCACTGTTTAGATATGCATTGCATTGCGTTGTGTTTAGTGTTCTAAGTAGTTTGAAGCATAACAGCTGACTGAACTCAATGAAACTGAGAAGACCTGTTTGAGTAATTTTTAGTCCAAAGGGGCAATTTGCCTAGAAGTATTATTACTTTCGTTTTAGCATTTTGCATTGATTCACTTTTCAAATTGTTGTCATCAAATATTATTATTATATTTAAAGTATTATATTTAAAGAAGTTAAGTAATGAAGAATCTGCATAAATGTATCTATGTTTCTGGCACTGTGATAAAACAATGGTACCTAGAGCCATCAAATTTTGTATAATGTTCGTTTCCACCTGAATGTGAACATCCAAAAGCCCAAATTTGGAATTTGTTTTATTATCTATTTCAGATTTTTGTAAAACTTTAACAAATTTTTGATTAACAAACTCAACAATTCCAAAGTGAACAATGGCAACACTACGGGGGGTGGACATTTTTATCTGCAGCGTGGGAGACTGTGTATCAGAAATTCTAAAGATATGCTCATTTTGAAACTATTTTGCGATATTGCTGTTGAACTGAATTTTATGGTTTAAGTGCACAAAGCATGATATTTAATAAACAAAGGTAACATAAAAAATGCCCCTTTAAGCGTAATGTAATTTTTTTTTTTTTTTTTTTTTTGTAAAAATAAATTATATCAAGCTGCCATCGGTTCTGTGTGCATTCAATCTCTTACGAACCACTACAGAAGCAACAATATTTAATTTTAAATTTGAGATCATATTCAGAGACTGTACTCAAATTGAAGCAAGAAATATGTAAATTTGTATGCAACTAAACATGAAATACCAGCTTAGAAAAAGGTTTCTGATATTAATAGATAAAGCGATAAGAACTGTTATGCAAATTGTTATGAAATATTTTAACCAATACAAATTTTTCCTAAAAGGGAGAATTTATTTACAGAATATTGTAGAATTTTTTCTAGAAAACAGTGACAAACTTCAAGCCAAGTTATACCATTATATGCATAAAATAGAAGAATATTCCAAGTGGAATTACTTTTTTTAACTACCATCTTATTATCCTAAAGTAATAAAAATTGTATACAAATATCAATAATATATTTTAGCATTTAAAAATTTATAAATCACTACTTGCATGAAAATGCTTTTGGCATGCCAAATATAACAAAGTAATAAAGAAATGTTAAATATTAATCAATCAAAAAAGGAATATTACTAGATAGGGATAAAATACTAAAAATCAAAATGTTAAATAAATATGAAGTATAAATCAGAAAGAAATATCACTAGATAGGATTTAAAGGTATAAAAATCAATCTCAGATTATTTTATTTTTTTACTCCTAAAGAAATCTGAAAAAGATGCTACCACGCCCACCTCTGAAACTAAATATCTTAAACAATCTTTGTCATATGAAGGTGAATTTTTTGTATATTTCTATATTAGTGGATTATATAATTTCACCAATCATTAGGTGAAATTCGTAGATTTTTAACAAAAGAAAAATATTGTTGACTGATAACTGCAAAAAATTATTTATGACATGCATATATATAGTTTGCTTTAATTAGATATTTAATTAAAAAATCAATTAATAAACCTATTTACAAGCTAATTTTTTAACCCTATTTACATGCCAATTTTAGTTTCTTATGTCCTCGTAGAAATTTTCTAGTGATCGCTTTTAAGAAAATATTTGCAGCAATTGTTCAGTTTGCGATTTTATATCATATTTTTTTTATTCCTACAGAAATTTTACCGCAGCTTCTTTCACTGCAGACAAATCCCACAAGAGCATACTTCAACATTAAGTTAAAGCAATATATATATATGTGGTATGATCTTAAATGCATTTAGTGCGAAAATAAGTTACCAGCACATAATTACTGGCAACCTGAATATCATACAAAATTATCAACTAAAAACACTAATGAGTTATGGTACAAAATTTAGACCAGTCAGAAACATAACTAAAAATTACTGTTACAAGACTTTCGAAAACAACATCAATGAATTTATAGTTAAAGCAAGCTATCAACTGAATTTACCCATAGATATCTTCTTAAAATGGAAAGATAAAATTCTTCAATGCATTTCCACCGAAATCAGTCACTTCAAGTTTAAAAGTACACTGAATTGGTCGCAACTTGCATCAGATATTAAAAAATTAAAACAGCTTTTTACTATTACAAAAATAGATAAAGCAAATAATAACTTTAGCATTATATGAAAACAATTCTACGCAGAAATTATTCATAAAGAACTTCTCAACACAACTACTTATCAATTAGCCAACCTTACAGAAACATCTATAATAAACAGGATTAAAACTTTTCATAAAAAACTCAATATTACTTTCAATACAAACTACAACAGATTTACTAACCTTTACACAATTCCCAAATTCTATAAAACACCATTAAAATTCAGATTTATAGCTAATGGAACTAATAATTACAAGAAAAATGTAGACTATTATTTTTCAATTCAATGTAAAAAAATCTGTAAATTTATTTTCAACGATTGTAACACTAATCATAACTATTGCTGGATCATCCATAATAACACTCCTGTCATTAATGCCATTCAAACAATTAACATCCAAAACATTAACTGCTATGACTTTGAAGAAACCTATACCAGTCTACTTGATCTGCCTAAACTCTTCCCTGATATGCTCACAATTATGACTCTTAAAAAATGGAAAACCTACCTAAAATGCACACTTTTTCATAACTACATCAGGTTTCAAAATCAACTTTTTAAACAAGTCAGAGGTTTGCCAATGGGCTTACATTCCAGCACCTCGATCTGTAATATCTTTTTATTTATCAAAGAATTTAACTTCCCAAAAAATCTACAACCACAAGAGTTAAATTACTACAAGCACACCTACAGATATATTGATGACCTTATTACAATTAATAATTTTGGTAAAATTGAACACTCCGAGATTTATCGAAATTGTCTTACACTTAATAAAACTAATAATTCTAATAATTCACAAAATAGCATAGACTATCTAGATCTTCAAATCATTAACTACAAAAAAATTTTACTGTTTGACAAAACAAGAAACTTCAATTTCAATACTAACAAATTAATAATTTGGAATTCCAACATATCCAAAAAAGTAATTAACAATACAATAATTAATCAAATACAACAAATTAAAATTATCTGTACAGATACAATAGATTTACAATGCAAAATTTTGCTCCTTATTAAAATTCTCAAAAATAATCTAATACCCATTCAATTTATTAACCATTGCCTTAAAAGAGCAGGCATTAAATACTCACTCTAAATCATTTAACTGATAGGGATATGATAATTTGTTCCTAAACCTGAGAAGGCGGTATAAGTTGGATGACTACCAGTTGAAGGATTTGTATATAGTGTAATTACTCAGTTGTATATATTGTAAAAAGCTAATTGTCTTCAAACTTATGCTGTTACTAAAAAAAATGGGCCTATTTCATAATCTTTAGTCTGTCTAATAGCTCTTAGACAGTGAAAATTCCTTTTTCCCTTTTTTAAATTCTTTATCATTTCGACACGACAATTAGCCAGAAATTAATTAATTTCCATTCACTAGTATTTTCAAAAAAATCTTAACAACCAGTTTCACTCAAATAAGAACTCCACATAATACATCCCTCAAGAATTCCAAGTCTTACCGACTGATATTATTCAAAGATCCCGCTGCCGCTAAGAATTTTTCGGACTCCCTACACTTCTGAGTCAGACGCGAAGAGAACACATTACCGACTTCCCACTAGAAAGAATATAAGTTACTTAATACTTTTTTTGGCCTTTATATCTTTACGTACATTCACTGTTCTTATTATATATTTTATTTTTATATTATTTTTGATTTGTTTTCACAAAGTTTGCATTACTTATCTTATTTTGTGATCTTCTATGTTTATTTCAACTTTATACTTTGAATTCTATTTCCAATGTTTAATTTTTACAAATAATATAGAACTCAAATGCATAAACATGGGGGTGTCGGGGGACAGTTACTCGAGTTTTTTCAGAATTCCCTACAGAAATTGCTTTTCACTCAAAATTGAATTGGCTAAAATGCTTCATAGGAATAAGTTCTTTGAGTATCAGCATTGGTTCATAATCCCTTCTATTCGCGGAAATATTTGGCCTGACTAGAATTGTCGGTTTGGCTTGACCTTATTACTCGAGTAAAGATGAAACACCTTCGTATTTATGTATTTATTTTTAATTATTGTTCATTGAACGGGAGTTGGTTTATTCCCCTTGAAAAGTCAACTAATTTCCGATCAATGACAATGATTACATGCATTTAATTTAATTTTTCCTTTTACAATTAAAATTTTGTTCTTCATGATGATTTAACATTTTACTTTCAAGTTACTTCAAAACATCTTTCAAAATATAACTTACTAGTATGGATTCACTCTTTTAAAGTATTTCTACTTTAATTAAACTTAGGAGATAATATAATCAATTAATCAATATTGTTTAGGAAATAAATTAATCAATATTGTTTAGGAAATAAATTAATCAATATTGTTTAGGAAATACATATATTGTGATTTGTTTATAGAAACAGCTGAAACTAGGAATACAACAAAAAGAATGCATAAGAAAATGATATTGCTTGTTCAAACTGAAGCACTGTTATGCACATGGTTGCCAGAGTTTGTTGTATTTTGAAAATTTGGTGACTTCTACTAAACTAACAAGACTAAAGGGACCAGAGGATTGTACAAAAAGTTAGATTTACTTATTTTTTACTGCGGAAAAAATGGGACAATTGTATCTTTCCCATTCTATTGGGCCAACTGACAAAATTCAAATTGCGCTTTTCATGACTCGAAAATGCAACTTGGGCTATATATTACATTTATATATATCATTGTTCTAATAGAGGTATTTTGATACAAAATCGGTCTTTTTCTGAAATAACATAATTTTTTTCCCCATGTTTTGATTCTACGATTCAAATTATGCCAAACTGCCAAGTTTTGTAAAAACTGTACAGATAGTTTTTAAAAAATTAGCTCTCAAAATTTTAGCTCCTCAATATTAATTAAATTTTATATATATTTATTAATATCTCTTTTTTATTAAACTTTATTAAACTTGATCCCTTCTTCCAGAATTCAAAATTTATGTTCATTCCAAATAAAATTCACCCATTTTTTGTGATTTATTTGAAAAATTTGTACTTAAATAATTTTTATAAATTTTTCAAAAGCAAATTTAAATTATAACCTATAAAATTTTTACCATCCTCTTAAAGTTGATGTATTTTTAAACATACCTGTAACAAATTAGAGTTTTTGTTGAAAATTTCCTACGCTATATGTGAATTTACACATTGGCACATTTGAAATTTGGCATATTCATTATAAATGATAATAACTCCAAGTGTGGTTAACGCACTTCATTAAAATTATCTGAAATAATGAATGATGACTTTTTTTCCGCATATTTACAATCAAAAAAAGGAAAAATAGGTTGCTATAAATTAAGAGGTTCGCCAAGTGAATTATTCTTGGCAAAAACTGAAAATAATATGTCAAGATAAATTTTTGAATTTCTGGGCAAATTTTGCACCAGATTTTACAAAATTTAATATTTACCCATAATTTGAGTCGTAGAATCGAAATATGAAAAAAAATTGGCATGTCATTTCAAAAAAAGTCAGATTTTGTGTCAAAATATATATATTAGAACAATGCTATATATAAATCTAACATATATCTTAAGTTGCGCTTTTGTGACATGATAAACGCAAATTGAGTTTCGTCAATCAGCCAAGTATAATGGGAGATATAGAACTGATCTCCGACCCCCCCTTTTTTTTTGCAGTGTATAACCAATGGTTTTAAAAATAGAAACCACATATAGACATTTATGGACATACCCTATACAAATACCACTTTTATGAAAGTAATGCAATTAATTTGTATGTTTTATAATTTACTCACCTTTAAGAAAAAAGAAGGATCTTTTTTCTTTGCCATGGCAAGGGCCATCCCAAAACCTCCAAGTAAAGATATTCCAGTAACACTCAGTAGAAAGGAAGCTTCTACACAGGAAAATATTAAAGTATTTAATGAAAACTGCAGATGAAATTTTTATACAGTAAACATTTTGATAACATTTGATTTTTGAAGCATTTTGATTTTTTAAGCATTTAACATAAAAACATTTTGAGATAAAAGTATAGTTTAGGGTACCCCTTGGCGAGACTTGGCGGTACATGGATACCGATTTTGTGCAATTCTTTGACTGGTTATTTTGGCTTGCGAAGCGGCAATTTTTGCAGCAAAAATCTCCTACACAAAGCCAAAATAACAAGACAAACAATTTCACAAACTCGGTATCCATGTACACATCGACTTATTTTCACTTAAAAAAAAAACCCTGAATTGCACAAAAATGGCATTGCGCAGTCCTTTGACTTTATCCATGTACACGTCGACCTATTTTCACTTTAAAAAAATCCCCGAATTGCACAAAAATGGCATTGCACACTCTTTTAACTTTATCCATGTACACGTCGACTTATTTTCACTTAAAAAAAAAATCCCAGAATTGCACAAACTTGCATTGCGCACTCCATGTACACATGTCTTTACTTTGTCCATGTACACATCGATATATTTTCACTTAAAAAGTCAAAGGAGCATCAAAGTCTACAATATAGGCAAACAAAAAATACATAATCTCAATAAAATACATTTTAAACCAAACAATAAAATAACATAAAAAAGGAAAAACATATTATACATTTAAGCACTACCAAAAGCAAATATTCACTTACCATGATTTTCGAGTTCACTTCGTACACCAGAGTCACATAAAAATCAAAATATCAATCATACTCAAATGACTTTTTTTCAAACCAGGTACTCTTCCTGACTGAATGCTTCACATAGTGACCATCTGGACCTTTCTTCCTACAAACCCATTCAAATCCATCTAAACGGTTTTAACACACACCAAAAAAAAAAAAAAAAAACGATTACCATGATTCCATACCATGTTAATAATCCCATGATTCAAAATTTCCCAGAATCATGCACCCGATTACGTCACAATAGGGTTTCCATAACATTCAACTACTTAGGCTACCATAAATGAAACAACAACTTGGCGATAAATCAAACAACAACTTCGCCATAATACAAGGGGTACCTTAAAGTCTACTCTACCCCATTTTGATAGCCATTTTAAATGTTTCAGAATTAAATACAGTTGTACCTCAGTGTATGTCATTAATCCATTCAAGGTCCTTAAAGTTGGTCTTATATCAAATGTAATTTTCCAGTAAGAAATAAAGGGAATATAATTAATCTGTTTTTATTTTTAAAAAATCTGTTTTTATTATTATAACATCATTTAATAATAAAATAGAAATGCAGGGGAGAATATATATTGTACATAAATGAAAATCTACCAAATTTATTTATCTCTTTTCTTCTGTACTGTTGGTAATGCCAAACCAAGCTAATACGGCTTGTTTTAGCTCACTGAAGGCAAATAATACAAATGTTGTTAAATGTTAAATGATGTTAATAGTATCACATTAGAAATTGGCATACACTTACTATCATGCTTTTGGGCAAAATTGGTTGTACCATTGTCTTGAAAGAGGTAAATAAGGAGAATGCACACAGTCACGACCACAGACTGAAAAATGTTGTTCTAAGCCACCTACCTAACTCTCCAGACCAATAAAATACCACTTAGATTATCTCTGCTGATCTTACAAGTGAAATGATCTAGAAGGCTACCAAAGTTCACTGTGGTCTGCAAGGTCTCATACATGTTGCAATTTTCTTTTTCTACGTTCAGCCCCACAAATGAGAGTTTGTTGCAAGAAACATGTATTATGTGGTTATTCCATGAAAAAACACTTAGCTATCCAATCAACAGCTTAGCTATCCAATCAACTTCACAAATTAGCTATTAATTAACAGGCAACCTATTATCACATAATTTTCTGTAAAATACATTTGAAACCCTCTCATTAAGAGTATTTAAAATATAGCTGAACTACTTAAAATTTATAAAATAATAATCAGATATATCTGAATTAAAATAACATGTTCAATAGTGATTACTGGAGGTGCTAAGGCAACAAGAATCAGTGTCATATTCGTAAATTTGCAATCTAATTTCAAAAGTTTAAATATAGAATCTCCAATAATCACATAAATGTTTTAGAATTTTTTCTTTAATCTTAGAAAAATTATAAAAATGAGCTATAAGAAATAAAAGATTGTTTTATTTCCTTATATAAATTCAACATAACAAAAAGTGCAACTAATCATTTTTTGAAATATGAAATACACTCTCTTGTTTTTTTTTTTTTTTTTTTTTTTTTTTTTTTTTTTTTTTAAGCAATGTGAAGAAAGTGACCATTTTTAATGCATTTCTCAAATGTTGCTCCAGAACTGCAACATTTTGCTGTGTCCGATTCTGGCAGCCTGTCATTTCCAAAATACAAATTCAATTCACGAAAGGCCTGGTAACCCTGCTGGCCAACAAAGAGTATCAACAGTTCAGGGGCACTCTAGAGATATGCAACCCATATGGGGGTCTAGCATTATCCTGTTGGAAACTGGCTTTAATATGGCATGCCATGAAGACATATTACTGTTAAAGTTGTATGCAGGATGACTAGGGTTGCCCTGCTATTGTATACGATAGCAATCCACACCATCACATCAGGGGTAATGGCTGTGTGCCTCTATAAAACAAAGGTTCTATAAAATGAAGACTATATAATCGAAGTTAATAATAACTGGCTTGAAAATTTAATCATTTATATAGTTGGTCTGAAGAAATCTGCATACAGAATTCCAAGATAATCAGATTATTTTTTAAGGATGCATTTTTTTCTTTAAAAAAAAGTTTGTAACTGCATATGCAGTTATGTATAATTTCGACTTGAATACAATTCTAAAAAGATGATGCAAAACAACTTTTTTTAGCTGAAAATTTACATAAGTATTTTTTGTGGAGATCTATTCAAAAATCAAAAAGTAACTTTTACTCAACAGCATCCAAAAATGATACGAACATGAAATACAGCATATACATAGTATGAATAAAATCAAATGATTATTATCAAAACATGGCATTAAAAACATCTTTTATCAAATACAATAATGACACAAATGTACATACTTAAAAATTACCAACTTGATATATTATAAATTACATGAGCTAAATGCATTATAAATGATATCAATAAGGTAATGTAACCAAAAAAAAGCATGAATTTTGAAGAAGTATATTTATTATTTTTAATTTGCTCGGTTTGTTAAGCAACTACAGTTATAGACAATAATATAAAGATCTTATACCTATAGTACTCTAAATTATATACCATAGTGTAAAATAATAATTCTAGCTTTTCTCATAAAATTCTATATTTAGCAAGCCACTCAGAGGAAACCTAAAAAATTTTGTTTTCAGTCAGCAGATTTCAATTTGTTGCAAACCTCATATAAAAATGATCCAGTAAAATAATTGTGCATCTATATCTTGAAGTCTTTTTTTTAATTAAATAAATGCATAGATATTCATATGGCATAACTTTACAATGAAATATATCATAGCAATTTTTTTCATACTACTTGCCTTGGTCATTTTCAACAGCTTCTTTTAAATATAAAACTTATGCTCGATAGCTTTGATTTTTTGAAGACTAATTCTTAATTTTACCCCAATTGTAACTGCTTAATTTAACACTGTTTTAAGTTTCAAGCGTTAAACTAAAATCTGCACATCAACAAGACTGCAATTTCTTTTAAATCTTGTGATTTTTATAGTTTTCAATTTAAAATATGTTTTTTTAAATTTTATTTGCAAACTCTTTCAGGTATTAGCCTGTAATGAAGTTTTCACATTCCAATTGTTTTTTTTTTTTTTTTTTGTTTTGTTTGTTTTTTATTTATTTATTTTTAACTGAAAGAACATATCTGGGATAAACAATTACAGAAATACAATTGTAGCCACCACAATCAATCGTGACAGCTCATAATGATTAACTACCTTAAGAATGAATTCTCTCTTATCAGACACAGGTTCATATTTATGTTAAACAAAAACAAAACTTCATATAGTTTGCTGCAACCAACCTGCAAAAAAAATCTTAATGAAATGAAAAATTTAACATAAACTCATACATTCAGTATCACTATTTCAGGTGCAATAAGTACATGTTTACGAAGGCAGGAAGAAATAATAAATCCAATTAATTACGTTACTATTATTTTCTTTCACATAAACTTCAGTTAAAATTGCATCCCCTAACTAAATATAATTATACAAGCATATACAGTAGTTTATAGTAGTATTTGTTTTGGATACTTATGTTTTTCAGTTTTGTTTGCAAATATATGAGCTAAGTATTTGCAAAATGACGTTATTTTTCTTTCGCACATATTATTGATCATCCATTTAAAACCTGCTTGTTTTGAAAAAAGTTTATTCACAACATTTTTGGAAAAAATAATAATTTATTCAAAAAGTTCTGCAAATGAACTTGCTTAAGTATTTGGATGCCATACTTATACTTAAGTATGTGGATACTTATGTTATATTTAATAAAAACATAAAATAATTGGATATTTAATATTTTGCTGAATATCCTTTAGCTAAGATTACACATTTCATTTTAGCATACATTCAAATATTTTTTCATGTAAGAATATTCCATTTGCTCCATTTCTATGTAAGAATTACTTTCAGTAGAGATAAGGAAGAAGTACTATGTTTCCTTATTCTTTTCTTGAATATATTTTGTAATCCAAGTTTTCTTGCAGATGCTTTCAGGTTTCCATTGAGAACATTTACATATTTATACCCATCCATTTATTTTTAATAAATACTAAATTTCTTATTCCAAAAGAAATGAAACATTCCCAAACCATTACCTTCATGTATAACAATAGGCAATAGGTTTTTTTTTTTTTTTTAATTCAATTGTTAATTCAGATTTTGCCATATGTTAATTCATCTATAGAACCTAAATATATTAAATTCGACTTTTCAGCAAGCATAACATTGTTTCAATGTGATAAAAATTTTGCTTACTATGGATTATGCGAACACCAGGCGTTTTCCCTTGATTTGTTGTTGATGAAGAATTTCCTTCTTGCTGATTGCTCATTGTATCCATATGCCTCTTCTAAAAATCTTCAGATTTTAACTTTTATTTCTAACTGTTCTTTTCAATCTGCTGAAAATTTTATAATACTAAGTTCTGGATTTCGTTTGAGTTTTCATAGAATAAATCTGTGATTTCTTCATGTTAGCTTGGAATATGACCCTGACTTCAGGGCATTTTTAATAATTCCATGCAATTTCCATCATTTAATTACATCAAGGATTGTTTTGATATTCCAAATACTTTTACCATCTCTAAAACGATGTTTAAATTTCCAACAGAACGGATCATTATGTTCACTTCAGATATGCCGCTGCGGCTAATATATTTTGCTAACCAAGTAAAAATTTCCAATGCAGGCACTCTCTCAGATATTACTTTTGTGACATAATTTTATTTAAGACAAAAAAGTTACTGCAAGAAACACTGCCTAACAAAAGCTGAGTTCTCCGAATCATGCGAGATTAACACTTTCTGAACAAATTATTTTATTACAAGGAATAATTTTATAATATTTATTTTACAACAAGCAAGACTTAAAACAGAAAAATAATATATTAAAAAATTTTTTGAAGTCTACGTTTCAATATTTAGTATAAGATTTGTGTAAATAAATTATGAAACCACAAGTGTACGAAAATAAATGTCAGCTATTATATATATCTTATAATGTTCATGTAGTCAGTTTGCTTATTACTAGAAGAGAAAAATCAAATCATGCAAAGAGATGGAGAATGAATATTACACACACCAAGAAGTTTCGGTTTATTTCCAGACACGTTATGGTCCGCTTCTTTTTTATTTGCCGCAAGTGTTGTTTCATTACTAGAATCCATTCATATTACAAAGGCAACTTTTACGCTTACAGTCGATTGTTTACTTTTAACATGCTGCCAAAACAAAAATATAAACAAACACATCATTACAGTTCAGTTCGCCCAGAAGTGCGCAGCTGCGTGATATGCTGCTACTCAAGCCAACATTCTATCTGCGAATTTTCAGTAAAGCCCATAGATATAAGGCTCCTATATACCAGGCTGAATCATCAGGCATTCGCTCTCCCAAGTGGGAGATTTAATGGCGGCTGTGTAGTTACGGTGCAACAATTTTTTGTGTTTTTTTGTGTAAAATGGGCGGATGTGCAGCTATTAATTGTTCAAATCATTCACGGAAAGGTCATACATTGGTAAAATTTCCTAAAAATGAAGAAAGAAGAAAAATATGGGTAAATAATTGCCGAAGAGACAATTGGAAACCTGGTCCAGGCGCTGAACTTTGCTTAGTAAGTATAATGTTAATTACGCCTTCATTTAGAGTTTATATCTTCTCTGATGTTTATAATGTGCAAGTAAAGTGAAATTCTTGTGTACAATAACCTGAGTATCTGCTAATTTCTGTAATAATAGCTATAATTAAATTAGTCTAGGGTTAATGTACCCGTCGCCAAACATCGCCAATGTGGATGTTTTGAATGTGGAAAAGAAATTTCTCTTCTAATATAAAGCGCAGATTTTGTTTTCCTGTGCTAATTGTGGAATTTATACTAATGTAACATGAAAATCATTAGCATATTGAAATTTATTAAAAAATAAATAATAATTTGGAAAGTCAAGATAAAATCTGAATGTTTGCTAAAGATATATGTAACATTATACTATAGTTGCAATATCGTTGGAATGATATATAATTTTTTTCTTTATTTTATAATCACTGTTGTTAAAAAGTTAGATGAGTTGCTTATGCACGGTGCCCACTACTGTTTCTTGGTTAAAATAACTTCCAGAATTTTGACATTGACATCTGAAGTCAATAGAATAAATTGAATAGTATGAGACAAAATATATATAATCTGACTTCAATAATTGCAAGTACCATATATTTATAATCACAGTATTATACAATTTGGCAATTTTAAAAAGATAATAAGAGTAAAGATTTAGAAATGAATGCAGAACATTCAAATAAGCACAGAAAACTTGTGAAACTGCATGTGTACTTTTCAAAAATAATTGTAGTGTTTTTAATGCATGTGTAGTGTTTAATGCATGCATAACAATCAAATAAATCTGCCTGTAATGATGAATTTCAAAGGCCAAGCCAAAATTCTTTCATGAATTTGATACTTCTAAAGAATGTGATCTCCTCAAATTAAATCCTCATGACATTGATAAACAGTTATTACTGATCTGTGTTACAAAACAGATTTTTATACATGATAAATAATATTTTCTGAAGCGTTATTTTGTGTTGTCATCTCTAAATAAAAAATTGCCTACAAATTCAGAAAGCTACTGAACTACGTTCTAGAGTTTTTAATAACTTTAATTGGATATGTCTGTGCCAATGTAATTTAAAAAATAGTCGTTTAAACTGGCCTTGATGCTTTTTAAAATGCATGTTGGCACTGTGCTCCGAAATTAGGGCTATGTTTTGAATGATTAGAGAATTAAAAATTAAATATTTCGTTAGAGCAATAAACATTACTACAATTATAACAAGAATCATAGTCTGCTCTAATTATAAATGTATTTATCGGCCTAGTATCTTAAAAGTTGGGTGTAGTGAACTCTTATTTTCTTATCTATTGTAAGAGCACTATAGCAAGAAATATAAAGTTTTATTTTAGTTTTTTTAGTTTTTTTTTTGTTTTTTTTATGTTATAGCAAAACACTACTTCATTTAATTTTTGGATAATGTTCTAAAGAACACCTTAAATTATAGGCAAAAAATAAATATTGGATAATTAAATTCTGTCCAAGCTTACAAGATGCTGCTGCTGATATGTTAGACATGGTTTGTTTATTGTTTCACTTTTTTATAATACTGGGCCTAATTTAATTACCTGCATATTTATTTATTGCCTATACTTACTTACAGTTCATGCTTGCTGCCTTTGGCACAACCTCACTGTGTGGTTTTTTTTTTTGTACTTTTATTTATTTTGTGTACTTTTTTTTTATTACTTTATGTATTTACAGGATCATTTTGAGGAATCTCAATTTGAGTCACTATGCAAAGATAGAAAAAAACTAAGAAAAACTGCAGTACCAACACTCTTTAGCATTCCAAATCCACCACCATCTGTAACTGACAAGAGGATAAGAGAAGTAAGATGTCCTAAGCCAAATACTGAAGTGGTAAATTATTTAATATTCTCCAAAAAAATTGTTGAAAAAATCATTGTTATTACAAATATATTAATTCATCCAACCATTGTTTAAAAAAATAATCACAGCATAACATGTTTACTATTTCTTTTTGAATTTAGGAAACTCTACCTGCTTCAAATGAAGAGTTGTTAAAAAAAATAGAATTCCTTGAGCAACAGCTTCAAGAAAAAGATGCAAAATTGACATCATTTTTGTCCGATGAGCAAGTAGGAGCCCTTGCTGTGCAGTCAAAAAGGAACTGGTCAGAAAAGTCCATTATAAAAGGACTGAAGATGCGATTTGCTTTGGGCAAACATGGATATAATTACCTCAGAAGTACTGGATATCCAGCACCATCGTACAGTACCTTGAACAGGAGGATTAGGGAAATAAAAATAAATTTCGGCATTTTAGAAAATTTGTTTTTTTTCCTCAAGACAAAAGTTCATTCATTGGATGCTCTTGATAGGAACTGCTGCCTTTTAGTTGACGAAATGGAAATAGCTTCATATCAAGATTTTGATACATCGTCTAAGTCATTCATTGGAAATGTTACGTTAGGAAAACCTGCAGTTGCTAAGCATTACACTATTGTAATGCTTAGAGGCCTTAAAACATCATGGAAACAGATTGTTGCCAATGAATTAACAGGGCCTTCAACATCAGGTTCTGACATGAAAGATCTAATTCATAGAACTGTAGTAGCAGCTACAGAAATAGGTTTAACTGTAAGAGCCTCTGTTTCAGATATGGGAAGCAATAACAGAGCAATGTGGTCGTCATTGGATGTATCTGTCTCTAGGACAGATAGGAAGACAAATTACAATATTGGAGGACCTGATGTTTTCATTCACAGTATTGCAGATGTACCACATCTCATTAAAAACATGAGAAATGCATTTCTTTCAAGTATTATGATATTACCAGAGGAATTTCGCCAGCAGCATGCCTTGCCATCGAGGATAGTATCTTCAGTGTATGTGAAACGACTCTGGTCAAGTGAGATAGAATCAGATGCTGCCCTGAGATCTCTACATCACTTGAACAGAGTTCATCTCTTCCCAACACACTTTTCCTCGATGAATGTGGCATCTGCTGTGCAATTGTTTTCTGTAAAAACAGCTGCTGCTATTGAAAAAGCAGTTATTTTACACCAAGTTGCAAAAGAAGCATTAACTTCTGCATGGTGGCTGAGACTTGTAGCAGAATGGTTTACAATTATGACTGCAAGGCATCCAAAAAAAGGCATCACTATCAAAAATCAAGATGAGAAATTTAATATTTTATTGAAATTCATTCATGTGACTGAAACTGTTCAGTTTGGGAAAGCATGGAAGCCATTTCAAACTGGCATTATTATGAGCACATTGAGTGTTGTGAAACTCTCAAAAGAATTATTTTCCGAGGGGTTTACATTTTTCTTACCAGGCAGGTTGACACAAGATGCGCTGGAAAATGCCTTTTCACAGATTAGACGAAAGTCGGGTGCAAAGCCTACTGCTTTGCAAGCCAAGAGAGCACTGAAATTAGTGTGCCTATCACAGTTCATTTCAGATATCAATAATCCAAATTATTGTTCTGAAAGTGACCACAGCCTCTTTGATGCTTCTGAATTAGAGGTTGCTATCAGAAAGGAGGTCTTGCATCCTATCTCCAATTCTGTAGTGCCATCTACCTCTTCTGCAGTGGCAGTGAAACGTCGCTTGCCCCCAGCTGTGGAAGAAAATGATATACATTACATCGCAGGAGCCATATATAATAAGTTGTTGAAAAAAAAAAGCATATGTGAAAATTGTAAAACAGCTATGACCATTTCAGAGGACATGCTGGAACCTGACATACCCGAGCATCGCACAATTCTTACAAAACATAGCAATAAAGGTGGACTGAAGGTCATCTCTTCAGGAATGTATCGAATATGTAGGGAAGCTGAACGAGAATTTCAAAAATGTAAAGATGTACTCCTTCGTTTACAATCAGCCATCACAAAAGAATTAGTTGAAAGAATAATTGATAAATGTACGCATGTGGCCATGCCAGAATGCTGTAATCTTAAGAAAGTAATTATTGATAATTTTTTTATTACTAGATGCAAAGGCCTTACACAGCATCTTATCAACAAAAGAGCCCATAACGTTTCATATTCATCAGCATCGGCCAATAAGAAACAAAAAGTAAAATAATTTTAGAAGGTATGTATGTTTTATATTAAATAATTTATGTGTTTTATGTAATATGTATTACTTTTTCCTAGGCTACGAGTATATAAATTTCTGTGTTTGATGTTATATATGTTACTTTCTGCTAGGCTATGAGTATATTATTATGGTATTATTTTCTTGTTTCTAATATATAGAAATATAGCATATTTTCCAGTATAAAATTTCAGTTAAGTTTTACTTAAAAGTATGGGAAAGCAGATTTGTTTCATGCATGATCTTTATAATACTGGTATGAAATGAATGAATTTTAAT